GAACAAATCCTTTAAAGGCCAGCACTTGGGGATCTGGAGGGCCACATGTGGCCTTTAGCCTACAGGTTCCCTGAGTCAAGGTGCCAGGAGGGTAGTGTCTGGGAAAGACTCTTTTCTTGGCTGTGAGACCCAAGGTAGTCTTCTCAACAGATGTCAAAGAAATATATTTGGGATAAAATATTTCTAATTTCCTTAAGTCTCCACTTTGAAACTGAGAAGTTGCACATATTAAAGTTGCCCCTTTGCCCATAGTTGAGTACCTTCCAGCACTGCCATATCCACCCTACCTGTTCTTTTGCCATGGCCCCCCCCAGACTTGTCATTTGTCAGGATCTTCCTGCTTTCACTCCCTTCTCCATCCAGTTTCTATCAGAAGAACCAACACTTTTAAACATTTGCTTTTCAAACATCAGGTTCCCTACTCTTAGGAGTAAAACCCCAACTTTACCTAGCAAAACCCATCCACCTATCAAAACCCCAACTCTAGGCCTATCTCCCTGTTTTCTTTCTCAGATTTTTCCCAAAACTGCTGAGCTTTAGGAAGAAAAATGCAGCCATGAGGCCTGGTGCTGTGAATACACCACTTTTATCTCAGAACTTTCACTGCTCCCAGACAGGGCTGCCTCAGGTCTCTGTTCCTTTCTCCGATTTCCAGGGGAAGTCATAAAAAAAAGTTTGGTTTTTTGTTGTTGTTGTTGTTGTTTTTGAGATAGAGTCTCAACTCTGTTACCCAGGCTAGAGTGCTTTGGTGGCAGCCTAGCTCACGGCAACCTCAAACTCCTGGGCTTAAGCCATCCTTCTGCCTCAGCCTCCCAAGTAGCTGGGACTACAGGCATGCACCACCATGCTCAGCTAATTTTTTTTCTATATATTTTTAGTCATCCAATTAATTTTTTTCTATTTTTAGTAGAAACTGGGGTCTCACTCTTGCTCAGGCTGGTCTCGAACTCCTGAGCTCAAATGATCCACCCGCCTCAGCCTCTCAGAGTGCTAGGATTACAGGTATGAGCCACCACACCCGGCCATAAAAAAATGTCTACTTGTTCCCTAAGGCTTAATCTCTTGGAAGATTTATTTGATCAATGCATTAACTGTGTGTCTATAAGTAGTGAGCATAACAGGGGGTATGGTCAGGCACCTCAGTACGCATGGAGCACAGTGGTGAACAAAGCACAGGCCTGTCCTCGGGAGCCTACAGCCTAGTAAAGGGGTATTTCGTGTCTAGGATAAATAGCCACTGTAAGCGTGAGGGGGGACTCATAGGAAGGGCATCTAAGCAGGACAAAGGAGGTGGCAAAGGCAGAAAGGACTTACAAAATGGGAGCAGAGGATGAGTAGGAGCCAGGCCCTCAGAAAGTGAAGAAAGAGAGGCAGAGTATTCTATGCCAAGAAAAGAGATGTGCAAAGCCTGGGAAGAGACGCTGAGGGAAAGCCAAGGCTAAGGCTGCCTGAGACTTTGCTGAGAGGCATGTCAGTGAGTCTTGGAGACTGAAGTCAGACTACAAAGGGCTGAGGGATATGTGTAAGGAAGGGTCAGTGAGCACCACAATTGCTATTAAATGGCCATAAAAAGGGAGTGAAAGTAGGACTGCAGCTTGAGATGGGTGTGGGCTCAAAAGAGTATGCCATGAACTGAGGATTATGATAATTTTTTTTAAAAAAACAAGGGGTTTCTTTGTTTTGTAATTAAGAGAGGATTAAATATTCTAAATGATGTTAGAGGGAATAGTTAGGAGAGAGAGTTGATCCATAGGTCACTTCTCAGGCTCCATCTTCTTTGACCTGTTCACAGTGTTTGACACTATTAATTAGTCTCTCCTTGCAGCACTTCACTTTTGGCATCTGGGACCTTACCTGTCTCTTGGCTTTCTTCTTACCTCTGATCACTTGTTTTCAGACTCCTTTGCTCATTCCTTATCTCCCTGACCTCCAAGGCTCACTTAGGCCACTTCTTTTAAGCATCACTCACTCCTTGGGTGATCTCAGTTGTTTTGTCAAGTTTGTTTATTTTAGAAAATGTTTATACACTTTATGTTTTAGAGTAGTTTTAGGTTTACAGAACTGAGTGGGAAGTACAGAATTCCCTTGAACCCTCCCCAAAGCCTCTTCCATCAACATCCTATACCACAAGGGTACATTTGTTAACAATCAAAGAACCAACATTGACATATCATTATCACCCAAGGTCCATGGTTTACATTGGAGTTCACTCTTGGTGTTGTATATTGCATGAGTTTTGACAAATGTACAATGACGTGTCCTCCATTGTAGTACACAGAATAGTTTCACTACCCTAAAAATACCCTGTGTTCCTGTGCTCCATCTATTCCTCCTTCCCCTCAAACTCCTGGAAAGCACTGTTTTGTTTTACCGTCACCATAGTTTTGCCTTTTTTAGAATGTCATACATGTAGTTGGAATCATACAGCATATAGCCTTTTCAGATTAGCTTCTTTCACTTAGCAATATGCATTTATGGTAACTCCATGTCTTTTCTTGGTTTGATAGCTCAATTCTTTTTATTGCTGAATAGTATTTCCTTGTAAGGATGTACCACCATTTATCCATGCACCTATTAAAGGACATCTTAGTTGCTTTCAAATTTCAGCAATTATAAATAAATTTGCTATAAACATTTGTGTACAGATTTTTTTGTACACGTTTTCACCTCTTTTGGGTAAATAGCAAGAGTGCTGTTTCTGGGTCATATAGTAAGCATATGTTTAGTTTTGTAAGCAACTGCCAAACTCTTTTCCAAAGTGGCTGTACTACTTTGCATTCCCACCAACAATGAATGAGAGTTTCTATTGCTTCACATCCTTGCCAGCATTTGGTGTTGTCTGTGTTTTGGGTTTTAGTCATTCCAACAGGTTGTAGGGGTATCTCATTATTGTTTTAATTTGTATCTTCCTGATGGCATGATGTAAAGCATCTTTTCATATGTTTACTGGCCATCTGTATATCTTTTCTGTGAGGTGGATTTTGTGAGGTTCATACCTTTTGCCCATTTTGTAATTGGATTGTTTTCTTTATGTTGACTTTTAAGCATTCTTTGTATATTTTGGTTACTAGTTCTGTATCAGATAAATGTTTTAAAAATATTTTCAGTAGCTTGTTTTTTCATTCTTTTAACAGTGTCTTTCGCAGAGGAGAAGTTTTTAATTTTAGTGAATCCAGCTTATCAATCTTTTTCTTCCATGGATCATGCTTTTGGTGTTATATCTAAGAAGTTATCCCCGAACCAAAGGTCACCTAAGATGTTCTATGCTATCTTCTATGAGTGTTATAGTTTTACATTTAGGTATATGATCTGGCTTGAGTTAATTTTTGTGAAAGGTACAAGCTCTGTGTAGTTTTTGGTTTTGCTTATGTTTTGCATGTGGATGTCCAATTGCTCCAACACTTTGTTAAAAAGAATATCCTTTCTCTACTGAGGTGCCTTTGCTCCCTTGTTAAAGATCAGTTTACTGTAATTGTGGGGGTGTATTTTTGGGCTCTATTCTGCTCCATTGTTTTTTTGGGGGTTTTTTGTTTGTTTGTTTTCTATTTACAGACTCACTTCATGGCATGCTCCATTGGTTTGTCTATTCTTTTGCCAATCCCATCTATTTTGATTAGTGTCGCTTTATAGTAAGTTTTGAAGTTTAGCAGTGTCAGTCTTCCAACTTTGTTCTTCAATATTGTATTGGCTATTCCAGGTCTTTTGCCTTTCCATATAAACTTGAGCATTGGTTGGTTAATATCTACAAAATAACTTGCTGAGATTTTGCTTGGGATTGTGTTGAATCACATTGGCAAGAACTGACATCTCCACAATACTGAGTCTTCTTATCCAGATATATGGAACATCTCTCCAAATTTTAAGATCTTCTTTGGTTTCTTTCATCAGAGTTTTGTAGTTTTCTTCATATATATCTTTTATATACTTTGTTACATTTATACCTAAGTTTTTCTTTTTCTGGTGCTATTGTAAATGGTATTGTGTTTTGTATTTCAAATTCCAATTGTTCATTTCTGGTATACAAGAAATCATTTGACTTCTGTATATTAACCTTGTATCCTGCAACGTTGCTATAACCACTTATTAGTTCCAGTAGTTTTGTTGCTATTGTGGATTCTTTAAGATTTTCTACACAGTCATGTCATCTGTGAACAAAGATAGTTTTATTTCTTCCTTCCCACTCTGTTCTGGTCTTATTTCGTTAGCTAGGACTTCAAATACAATGTTGGACAGTAGTGGTGAGAGTGGGTATCCTTGCCTTGTTCCTGATCTTAGCAGAAAATCATCCAGCTTCTCATCATTTAGTATGTTAGCAGTAGGTTTTTTGCAGATGTTTTAGGTATATCATGAGATGGGGCTCTCCCACAGCCCCAGCCTCACACATTCAGTCCACCAGCAAGTGCTGTGGGCACTCCCCATCTGAAACTCCTCCATGTTTCTCCACCTTAACTGACCCATTCATCACACAAAAGCATAGTAATCTGTAAAACAAACATCCAAGTAAGATCATATCACTCTTCTGATTTAAGCAAACCTGTGACCTGGTCCCTCTCTCATCCAGGCTCACTCCAGCCACACACCAGCCTCCTCTATTAATCCTCTATTACCTGACCACGTGCAGCGCTGAGGGCCGGACTCTCTAATGCCACATGGCTGCATGGCGTCACAGGCCAAAGGTCTCCTCCTTTGCTCAGAGGAGTCTTTGCTAACAGCCCTCTTGACCCCACCCACACAGCCGCTGTGTACGACAGCTTTTTATGTTCTGTTTACCTGCTTTTCGCTCCCCACTAGAAGGTGAGTTTTGAGAGGACACACCCCTGTTTAGAGCTTTGTCCTTTCCTCCAGAAACAGAGCCTGGAAGATACTGCTCCGCGAGCATTTGTACAATAGGGTCCTTCTGAAACTCTCCAGCCTCTTCCCGGAGCCCCTTCAGGCCCCGCCCAGCCCAGCCCAGCCCCGCCCAGCCCAGCCCAGCCCAGCGCCGCGCAGCGCCTAGCGGAACCCCGCGTCCCAGACGCGTTTCTGGAGGAGGAATTTCGGCGTTGGACCTGAGGTCCTACGTAGGCTACGGCGGCGACTTCGGTGCATGGCGGTGAGCTGAGTGTGGAGGAGGGGCACGGGTGGCGGGGCCTTGGGCTGTCGGCCGCTCCCCCGTGACCCTCGTGCTGCCCCACTTTCTCCAGGCTCTAGGACATCCTGCTCGGGAGGCACCGCCGGCCCCAGGCCCAGGTACCATCCGCGCGCCCCGCAGACGCCGGGTCCCTGGCCCGGTTCCTGGCTCCCGGAATCCTCCCACTGTCTGTCTCTGCTCAGGGCAACCCACGTGCAGTGACGCCGCCTGCAGAGCGCACCCCGTAGGCGGTGACACATCCTTGAAGAAGCAAAAGAATAAGAAGAAAACCCGGAACAGGGCCTCTGTGGCGAATGGAGGCGAGAAGTCCTCAGAAAACCTCGCCCCAGAGGAAGCCCCCTTGAGCGCTGAGGCCCAGGTAAGGGGGGCTCTTTAGTTGTGAAGAGTGGAATCCGCGGGTGCATTCTGGGTGCGAGTCCACGGGCAGGTGTCATCTGGGATCTGCAGAATTAAGACGGGGAAGGGGGTTTGGGGTTTGGGTCCATGCGGGATGGGACCCGGGACTGTGGGACCCAGGTGCCCTCCTACAGCCACTTTTCCCAATCTATCACAGGCAAAACAGCTGGCCCAGGAATTGGCCTGGTGCGTGGAGCAGCTAGAGCTGGGGCTCAAGACGCAGAAACCCACCCCGAAACAGAGTAAGGGGCCCTTCTGTAGGGAGGGGGAGGGGCAGAGGGGATGTGGAGAGTCACAGTGCCATGTTTTGCAGGTGCTGGCAGGGGATTGAGTTGTTGCCTTTAGGGTAGTATAATAGGGAGTGAGTACAGAAATCAATAGTCCTTTCTTTGTATCTCCAGAAGAGCAGGCTATAGGAGCGATCCGAACTCTTCGCAGCAAAAGAACCCCCCTGCCCCGGAAGAGGCAGCTGATGCGCTCCATGTTTGGGGACTACAGGGCTCAGATGGAAGCTGAGTGGCATGAGGCTCTGCGGGCTCTCAGGGCTGGTGAGTATCTGTGAACTGGTTAATTCAAGAAGGCCTAGTTCAAGGGGCTAGGGAGGCAGTACTTAGGGAATGAAAGGAAGAAGTTCTAAAGCAAAAAAGTTGGTGGAGGAAAGAGACAGATTGAGGGAAGCTTGAGGTAACAGGGAGAGAAGGCCTGAATTTCTCAGGAACACAGACCTAGGGCCTGGACATGGGAGGAGGGGAAAGAGTCTGGTCCTGTGCTGGTCTTGCTCCTGGGTTCGGGAAAGCTGACTCACCTGTCTGTGCCTTGGCTTTCTCTGCTGGCCATAAAGCCAGATCCCATAGCAGTTTGACTGCAGTTCCTGGAGCCAGACAACCTGGGTTCAAATCCTGGGTCTACTACTTAATAGCATTAACACCTTAGGCAAGTTACTGAGTCTTGGTGTGACTCTAAATAGGTGGTGACAATAATATGTACCTTACAATTTTGTTAAATTAGTTATTTTAGTACAGGGTTACGGTTGTATGGGCAATCATAATTGTACAGGCAATGTTAGCTGTTATTATTCAATTGTGACACTGCTTCCTTCTCCCTTACAGCTGCCCATTCAGCCCAGGTACAGCCTGTAGATGAGACCACCAGAAAGAAGAGCCGAAGGGTCTGCAGGCCTCGCCCTGTAGGGAGAGCCAAGGCCACTGTGGACACTCCTGATGAAGAGTTTAGGTTCAATTTCTTTTAGCCTCTCTCCAATCCTGCCCCTCCCCAGGGGTACTGTGGGGTTTGTCCTGAGTGCAGAATTTTCCCAGGAATTCTCTGTTGACACATGTGAGGTTGGTCTGTCCCTGGCTGGTCCAAGGATCTGGGCCTGTTGGTCAGGTATGGGACCTTCCAATAGGCACAGGACCCCATTTGTAGGTTTTCTGATGAAATGCTCCTCCTGCCAGAAGAGAGACAGAGGTACCTTTAGAAAATCTTCTACACTAAATTGAAATGCATGTTCAGTGTGTTATAGAAAGGATATTGTACTCAGTCTTTAGGTTGGTAGCAAGGATTGGTGGGGGAACTATGTAACTGTACACTGTGCTCACTTTTAAAGGATGCCTTATCAAATGGTTTAGTGGTTCATCCTATTATGTCACTTTGCCCTAATCTCTATTTTTGATAAAAATGGATAATGAATAAAGAGTGAGCTGTCTGTGTTGTTACGAGGAGTACAGATGAGGGAGGGGTATGATACTGCTGGGTCCAGGCTCTCACCCCAGTGCTTGAACCTTTGTCCATTGCCTTTGTTCCTGAGCAGGTGTCATTCTCAGGGAACCATTGTGGCTCCCACCAGGCCAGCCTCTGTTCTTGAGAACAGGGAGCTCTTCCTCTAACCATCCTGGCTAGAGACCTGGATTGTGCCTCAGCAGACCGACTGTGGTGGCTCCTGGCATCAGGCTCAGGCCCTTTGCTCCATTGAATTGGGATCCTCAGGTGATCTAATCCTCCTTATTACTTTTGTCTCCCAAACTTGCATTCCAGACTAGATAGATACCTGGAACCCAACTGCCATCTCCATATGGGTGTTTCATAGGTATTTCAAACTTGACATGTTCAAAACACCTGATGAGGCCCCGAATCTCCCTTCATTTTCTGCTTTTCAGCGAATGGAAATACTGCCCACCTAGTTGGTTAGGTCACAAACCTGATGATCCTCAATTGCACCCTTTCTCCAACATAGATGTTCAATACTTTAGCTGGTATGTCAGCTCTGTCCTCAAAATAAACCTCAAATGTTTTACATTTTCATGATCTAAACTGTTGCTCATTCTGATTCTGGTCTCTCTTACCTGCCTTGTGTTAACCTCCTAATGTTAGTCTGCCTTACTCCCTCTTTTACTTCCTGTCTGTTCACTGTGGCCCAAGTGACCCTTCATGTATGCTGTATCACATTCTCCTGATCCAGTGACTTCATCATGCCTAGGATACAACATGAAGGCTGATGTACAAGGTCCTGCGCAGGCCTGCACATGTCTATGCACCAAAGGGCCCCTCTGATATGGTCCCCCTCTGCTCCTGAAGTAACCAGACTTAATTCTGCCTCAAGGTCATCAAACTTGCTGTCCCTTTTGCTCAGATTGCTCTTCCTCCAGATCTTAGCATGACTGGTTTCTGGGAAAGTAACTCTACCTTGTTATCCATCAGGCCAAGGTAACAAGTTCAGATAAAACTGGGGTATTAGCAGGAAACAGTTTTTTCTCCCATGGTCACTATGCAGATATAAAGTATCATAATGACTCCTTTATTTGAGTGTCTTACTGAGAATCCTTGTATATTAAAATCATAGACATTTTGCTGTTAGAAATCCTTAGGAAGGAAACATCCTGATCTCAAGAAGATGGCTTCATTTACAACTCAGATGTAGAGCTTCAAAAAGAGGATTTGGAACACTACATTCCACACTAACGTACTTTTGTGGTTTCCAAGGAAATAGAAGCCTGGTTTACTTCACAGTTTGGACCTGTTCTTGATCCCACTACACATCCCTGTTTTGCTAAGTGCCCATCAAAACACTTGCATTTAGATTTCACCTTAACACCCTTTTACTAAATCCTACAATAACCCTATATCTTTGATGAGATGTCTCATAGATCTAGTATGCATTCTCTTCTGTCAGAATGAGGTGACTATAGGTTTGTCTCTTCTGGACTTTGGATGATTGAACTAGGACAGTCTTCCTTTGGATCTAATTGTCACCTCCTTCCTTCTCCCAACCCCAGCCCACACTGGCAACTTGACCCTTTGCCCTCAGATCTATTTGTAGGAGGTTAGAGGGCCTGAGTAAAGGAAACACCAGGGCAGATCTTCCCTTTTTCCTTTGGCAGTGTCTCTACATCCCTCCAAGGGCTGCCTCCTGGGCCCTATAACCACCTATTTCTTGGTCCATACAGCCTAAGGGCCCAAGATTGACTTGAGGATCAGATTGGGTTTGGGTTAGGGTGAGAGTGATAGAGAGGGTTAATGATGGTGAGAATGAGGGTTTAGGGTGAGTCTTAGAGGATGAGAAGGAGGGTTAAAAGGTGAAGGTGAGGTTTTAGGGGAAAAGGGTTGGGCTACGGTTAGAGTTAGTTTTGAGTCAGTGGTGTGGTTAGTATTAGAGATCAGAGGTTAAGGATGATGGCTTAAAGGTTAGGAATTAGGTTAAGGTTAGGGTTTAGGGTTATAGAGTCAGGCTCAGTTCACAGAGCTATGTCTCACTAACACCATTGTTTGCCTTCTATTGTAATCCCTCCATGACCTCTAATGTCAAACACTTCCTTAACCTGGCAGAGCTCAGCCAAGGGCTTCTCTATACATACAATGGTTATCATCAGGTCCAATTTCCCTTGAAAACTTGTTTGAATTAAATAATTCTCCAGAACTCCACTGCACTCTAGCCAGGGGGACAGAGTGAGACTCTGTCTCAAAAACAAAAAAAAAAAATTTTAAATAAAAAATAATTCTCCTTGTTATTTTGTAATGTATCCGGAGAGATCTGGCTTTCTGATTATTCTTTAAATCCTTTGACCTCAAGTGGATTTTGAAACAACTTTTGGTTTTCTTCTTTATGCATTCTTATAGCAGAGCCACTTCCTCACAAAGATTTTGTGTGTGTGTGTGTGTGTGTGTGTGTGTGTGTGTGTGTGAGACAGAGTCTCACTCTGTTGCTGAGGCTAGAGTACCATGGCATCAGCCTAGCTAACAGCAACCTTAAACTCTTGGGCTCAAGCAATCCTTCTGCCTCAGCCTCCCAAGTACTTGGGACTACGGGCACACACCACCATGCCCAGTTAATTTTTTCTATATATGTTTTTAGTTGTTCAATTAATTTCTATTTTTAGTAGATGAGGTCTCGCTCTTGCTCAAGCTGGTTTTGAACTCCTGACCTTGAGCATTCTGCCTGCCTGGGCCTCCCAGAGTGCTAGGATTATAGGCATGAGCCACCGTACCCAGCCCTCACAAAGATTTTTAAATTACTCTTCTTGGTTGCTTTACAAACTGCTTTTACAACTTGCAAGTTTTTCTTCAAAAGCTTGCATTTACTTTCTTCGTTACTTTTGATAAATTTGCCAACTCTAGGTCCATCTGTTTTTTATGGACTTGGCATCGTTTGTTCCTCCTGAACAAGAGAACTCACCCAAGAAAAATGTCCTCCTGAATCCTATACTGTCTGGATAGTTCATGCTCAGCAGCCTCAGGATGGGGGACTGTCATCTCCATGGGCCATGGGACCATCTCACCTGTTCAGTTTCCCTCTCATCTTGGGTGGAGACCAGGGTGTAGAATGGACATGGCAATGCCAGGGCCCTGACCTTAGGACCAGGTCAGACTCCAAGGTCAGGGAAGCCACCAGCAAGGAGCCCACACTGAGGACGGGTAGGGGAAGGGGAGCAGCCCGACTCAATAGCTGAATTCATGTTTATTTTGGAGAATGGGGGGGAAATAGAAGGAAAAACATGTAGACCTACCACCTAAAGACCAACCACCTAAAGAAAGCTATCATTGTGGTCTGTCTGTTTCTAGTATTTTGTTTTGCACTTCACTGAATTAGCAATAGCCACCATCTCTGGAGTTCCTACTGTGTATCCCTGCTGTTTGAACATTCTCCCTCCTCCTATGATGAGACACAAACCTGATGTGAGGATAAGGAAAGTGCATGCTAGTCAGCCACAGGTCTGGGTCCACGGGCCTGGCCCACATCTGACCATCATATGATACGCACTTCTGCTCTTACTTTTCTGTGTACTGTTATGACATCAGCCTCCCTCCTGACACCTCCTGTGCCTGGCTCATATCCATGCCCAGCTCTGCCCAGGTGTGTGACCCTAGGCGGGTTCCTGTGACCTCTCACCTGTGAAATGGGGATGGTGATAGGACCCTCCATGGGGGTTATTGTGAAGATTAAGGAGGGAGGATGGTTACCAAAGCCTGGGAGCATCATTGAGACACAGTGAGCATTCTTGGAATATTAATTATTTAAATTATTATAAACTGCTGCCTAACATTACTTTTAAAATCAACTGTTATTTATTCACTCAGCTCTTAGGCTCTTGCTAATCATTTCTGTTTTCAATACTGAAGAGCAATACTTCACTAAAGGTCACTGTAAAGAAACTGGTAATTTATTTTAGGTTTCCAGTAATAGTCTTTATTAGGTGTGTCTATGGGCCAGGTAGTCCTTGCAGTCACAGGGAGAATGGTGAAGGCAGTGTGATTAGTGATTGCTGGGCCTCACTTCCTCCGGTGGCTGAGTTGACACGGGAACCCACATTCTTGAATGGGGCTGAAGTCTTCTCCCAGGCTCTGCTGCTCTGGCCTGAGGGAGCCTCTGCCCACCTAGGGTCATTGTTACCATGTCTCCCAGGTCTCTCCAGAGTGACAAGATGTACTAGGAGGGACCCAGCCATGATACTGGCCTCTTCCTCTGGCTGCTGTCGGGAATATGCTGTATCCCTCTCAGGCTGCCCCTTGAATCATGGCTGATGGTCCTTGCACTGGGAGCTTCCTTTCACACTGGGCAGCTGGTCAATGGTCATGGGCTGGACTTCATGATGCACCCTGAAGATGCCACTGTGTCTGTATCCATTGCCATCCTTGGTGATCGCAGTCCTACATGTGGGTCTACTTTGGACAGACTGAGTTTTTGCACCAGACACTGCAACTACTTGGGTCTTATTTAGGAGGGGGGAAATGTGGGTAGTGTCAGGATTTTCTGCCTGAATCCATGGTGTTTGATTAGACCTGGAACCAGTGTAGCTGGAACAGAGACTCTTCCCACAAACATCCCAGATTATTTATTTTATTTTATTTTGAAAAAATATATATATTAATATATGCACATGACTGAAAAATAAGAAGGCAAGGAAAGAGTTAAATTGAAAGAAAACAGCTGCCCCACTCCCCCCACACCTGTCCACCTAACTCACCTCTTCCCACCTAGTGCAACAGTGGAGGGCTGAGCTTCTTATATTCCCCAGCCTTCTCCACCTTCAGCCCATGGTAGAAATATTATTTTAGTTTCTTTATTAGTTATCATTGTAGCTATAAGTACCTTTAAAAATATGTATATAGGTATACATTTTGTCCAATGCAACAGAACCTTGTGACTTCCACCTTGTAGAGAGGATATGGCACTATGAATTCACCTACATTTCTTAGTATTCTGTAGGTGTATGTCTTTTTTTCTTTAGCTTTTTGTTTCTTGGAGTTTCTAATTGCCTTTCTTTTTTCTTACATTCTTGGCTTGTATCACATCCTTAACGTCATCCAGAATTTCAAGCATCTCATCTGAAAACTCCCTGGGGCCTCCTTTTTATGTTCTCATCCAGGTGACACTTCCCTATACCTGGGTGCTGCCATCATGCCCAGAGCTCCCATCTTCCCACATTTGCTCCAGGGTTCTTTCTTCCTTAACTCCCTTGTTTTGTTAGAGAATATCTTCAATTAACTTTGCAACAAACAGTACCTGAGAGAAAAATTTTTTCAGTCCTTACATGTTCTAAAAATGTCTATAATCTGCCCTGGCATTTGATTTAACAATTTGGCAGGGATGGAATTCTGAGTTGAAAGTACTTTTTCCCTCATAAATTTGAAGACATTGTATTATTGGTTTGTAGCATTCAATGTTGTTAAGGCAGACGTCATTCTTCTGATGTTTGTGCCTTTGCAGATAACCTATTTTTCCTTTCTTGGAGCTTTTAGTTCTTTGTGTGGTTTTGGTCTTGGTGTTTTGAAATTTCACAATGATGGTCTTAGGCACTGGTCTTTTTAATTCATCTTGCTGTTAAGGCTTTCAATGTAAGGAACAAGATCTCCTTTAACCACTTCGGTACGGTGCTCACCGGCCGTGAAACCTTGCCCAAAGCCTGCACTCGTAGTCCGTACCATAGTTTGTGCTGTGCATTGATGATGAATCCATTTTGCTCTTGTGTGATGAGGAAAGCTTTAAAGCACTAAAAGTTTGTTTTACTTTACAGGCAGCTTTACTTGTAATGTAAATCAGAATAGGTAACATATATGTTTTCATTACGTTCTATTTATTTTATTTTATTTTATTTTATTTTATTTTATTTTATTTTATTTTATTTTATTTTATTTTATTTTATTTTATTGAGACAGAGTCTCACTTTGTTGCCCAGGCTAGAGTGAGTGCTGTGGCGTCAGCCTAGCTCACAGCAATATCAAACTCCTGGGCTTAAGCAATCCTCCTGGCTCAGCCTCCCGAGTAGCTGGGACTACAGGTATGCGCCACCATGCCAGCTAATTTTTTTCTCTATATATATATTAGTTGGCCAATTAATTTCTATTTATAGTAGAGACAGGGTCTCGCTCTTGCTCAGGCTGGTTTCGAACTCCTGACCTTAAGCAATCCACCTGCCTCGGCCTCCCAGAGTGCTAGGATTACAGGCGTGAGCCACAGCGCCCGGCCCCATTATGTTATTTTTGAATGTTCACAATTTTATTTTGATAAATGAAAAATTAGAAAAGTCATATCACGGCTGTCGGCTAAAGTCACTGTGTGCGTTCATCTGTGGCTATCAACAATAATCAACGCTGGTACCGAAGTGGTTAAGCTCTGAACACTTTTGTAATAGTCTCTGATAATGTCTTAGAAAATTTCTTTGGTAAGTTTGTCCGTCCATGTTTTCTGTTCTCTCTTTAGAGCACAAATGTTATTTGGATGTTGGAATTCCTGGACCAATCTCCCAAAGAGCTTAACATTTATTAAAGGAACAGTAAGAAAAGAAACAGTGCAAGAAAAATACCAACCATCCTTTCACATATCTTTTTTTTTTTTTTAGACAGAGTCTCACTTTGTTGCCTAGGCTAGAGTGAGTGCCGTGGCGTCGGCTTAGCTACCTCAAACTCCTGGGCTCAAGTGATCCTTCTGCCTCAGCCTCCCAAGTAGCTGGGACTACAGGCATGCGCCACCATGCCCGGCTAATTTTTTCTATATATATTTAGTTGGCCAATTAACTTCTTTCTATTTTTTAGTGGAGATGGGGTCTCGCTCTTGCTCAGGCTGGTTTCGAACTCCTGACCTTGAGCAATCCACCCTCCTCAGCCTCCCAGAGTGCTAGGATTACAGGCATGAGCCACCACGCCCCGCCCACATATCTTTTTTCTTTTCTTTGAGTCTCTCTGTTTCCTGGGCTAGCATGCCGTGGTGTCAGCCTAGCTCACAGCAGCCTCAAACTCCTGGGCTCAAGCGATCGTCCTGGCTCAGCCTCCCGAATAGCTGGGACATCGGAGTGTGCCACCATGCCTGGCTAGTTTTTTGGGTTTTTGTCCATTTTTAGTCGTCCGGCTAATTTCTTCTATTTTTAGTAGAGATGGAGTCTTGCTCTTGCTGAGGCTGGTCTCAAACTCCTGACCTCAAGCAATCCTCCCACCTTAACCTCCCAGAGTGGTAGAATTACAGGCCTGAGCCACCATGCCTGGCCCACATATCTTTTTTCTTATGTTTTATTTAATTTTTTTAAATTGTATATACTTTGGGGGATATTTCTTTTTTTCTCTCTCCCCTCCACCCTGGCAGGTATTTCTTAAATTCTGTCTTCTAATTTTTCATTTTGACAGTTATATATTTTAAAAGAATTCCAAACCATCTTTCCTGATCTCTAAATTTTCCCTTCTTAATAAATTATGTTACTTTCTATCGATGCAATATCTTGTAATTTTCTGAGGATCCTAATTAGAATTTTTAACAAATATTCTTCATTGTCTGAAGGGGGGACTATTGGGATGATGGATTCCCTTGAATAGAGAAGGAGGTGACTTGTCAGTTTGATATTGGTCTTTCATATCTTTTTTTTTTTTTTTTTTTTTACTGTTGAATGCTCATGTTTGTCTATAACTGCCGATGAGACTGAAATGGGGATAGTCATAGGCCAACTTCACACTGGGATGAGGGGAGCTGGTCTAATGAGGCACGTAGATGGGTTAGTGATGTTTTAGCAACATGAATTTCCTGGTTTTGATAACTGTGCTATGGATACAGAAGATGTTTACTTCAGGGAAAGCTGAGTGAATATTGTATCAGACACACAACTATTTTTGCAACTTTTTCTGTAACTTTAAAATCATTTCAAAACAAAAAAATTTTAAAGTCCCTGTCATGTCATATCTACACTTTTCCCCTGAAAGGCTGATGAAGGCCATGGAGTCAGAGACCCAGGCCCCATGAAGTACATCCTTCTCCTCTCCTTTCTGGACTATTCCAATAGTCACGGAACTCACCTCCATGCCTCTTTCCTCTCCCCAGCTCTGCATCCTGCACGGTCTATTCCCAGTACAGGGCTGGAATTCCTGCTGTGATACTTAGAACTTGCAGGGGCCCCACTGCCTGGTAGATCAACCCACACTCTTTACAATGGTGCACAAGGCCCTGCCTGGCCCAGCCCAAGCCTCTCCACCCTCCACCCTCAACTTCTGCCCCTTCTGGACATTCATCCTCCTCTCCAACCCACAGACCTTCTGACACATTCTCAAAGATTCCATGTCTATCCCCGCCTCCTGGAATCCACACTCACTGCTCTGACTACCTGGAAGGCCTCCGTCTAACTCCTTCCTGCTGAGCCTTCTGGTAAATTTCTGTTTCCCTAGAGCTCCAGCCTAAATATCACTTCCCCTTCAATGCTCTGCACTTTTATTAAAAAAATCTATTATAGCTCTTATTATTAATATTGTGATTCATCTACTCTTCCATGGTCAAGAATTGTGCTTGGTTCTTGGATAACAAAGACAAAGGGCGAAGCCTCTGCCTCCAAGGAGCTCCTGTGGGGCTGGTGAGGCTGGAGGGGGAGCCCGCGGTCATAGTGCAGTGTGACCCATGGCATGAGAGGGGCAGCACAGAGCAGTTCCTAAGCAGGAAGGCTCTCAGGTGCTTATCCCTGAGTTGGGTCTTGAAAGATGAATGGGAATTCCCAGTCCTCTTTCCACATACAGGTCTCTTCTTCCACATCTCACTGCTCGCCTTCATCTGCTCACATACTGTCTTGATCCATCTGGTTCAATGACCTGTTAGGTTAGTTCAACAACTTTCCCATAGAGTCTTTGATGAAAAGCATGAACATTAATGACAAAAGCTAACCTATTCATGCTTAAATATGCATGGTGTCCTCTTCACCTATGCTGTGGGGAAAGCCACCGTACTGCGTGAGGGCTTTGTGTTCCCTGGTCCCACCATCCACATGGGGGCCACGACCCATCCCCCTAGGCCAGTGAGGATGCTGGGCACAGGGTGGTCCTCTTAGCAGCCCCTACACTCTGCCGCCTTCACTTCTGATTCTTCTTCTTGCCCACCCCACCCTGTTCCTCCATGTGCCACAGTCAGATGGCTCCTGTGCTCAATAGCGGTCATAGCAAAGGGGAAGGTGGAGGCCAGGAGGGAGAGGCTCCTGCCACCAAGGCTGAGCCCAGAGGGGCTGGCAGGGCCCATCTCTGCCCCAGCCTTCAGCAGGCAGGGAGGGGGCTTGGGTAGGGTGGTCTGTTCTGCACCATGAGCCAGATCTCTCTGCCCTAAACCCAGGGCCAGCACCTCTACCCCCAGGTCTTCCAGGCCAACTTCTAGGGAGTAAGGCTGGTTGGCTCCCACATTCCTGGAGCCCGAGAGGAATTTCTGCCCTAAGAGGCCTCTGTAAACCCATCCCCCACCTGGGCACAAAGCTTGAAAACAAGCTGTCATGAGGGAACCCAGGGTGAAGGTGCGTCTGCAAGCCCCTGTCAGCCTCCCTCATGTCAGTCCCTTCCAGAAGCCGCACACAGGAAGAATAGATGCTGACCCCTTCCCTGTGCCCCAGCACCCCACAGACAGAAGCCACCACCTCTGATGAGGAAAAACACATCTATTAGGAAGCATTGCATGTCTTGGTAGGAAGAAGCTATTAGCATATAGGAGAAGTGCTAATGTGAGACAAAACAGGTTTTCTCTGCATATCCCCAATTGTTTTCTAGAAAACTTTTCCCACCAGGGAAGGCATAAGAAGCATGATCTGGTCAACCAGACAAGCATGTTGGCTAATAGTGAAAGTGGTCTGAGGCTCTTGCCACCCTTGCCTATGCTGGCAGGGACTCACTGGGGCCACAGGCTCCTTGGGCTGGGAGGCCCTGCTGTCCCTGTGTTGGACCTACTTGTTCTTGACAGGATGGCTGTGGTGGTGTGGGGGTGGTGAGGTGGCTGCAAGCCTTATCTGTCATTTCTCTCCTTTGTTCTGGGTGGTAGGGGCCCGTGGGGTAGCAGGAATTCCCATCCACCGGGGCCTGGAGATCCTTCAAGGGGTAATTGAACTCAGAGGGACCACGTCCTTTCCGAAGCCCCAATTTGTCCACTAGGATCTGTCCAACAAGTTTAACAATTGCTCGGACTTCAGGAGCACTGCTGGATAGTACTCTTGCGGTTGGCCGCGGGCTCCAGGCTGCAGCAGATGCATGCTTGCCTTTCTGTAGGGCATCTTCCTGTCCTCTGCCTTTTTCACTGGGGTCAAGACACCACAGGCCATGACTGATCATTTTCCTGGGGCGGCTTTCCCCAGGTGCCTGTACCCTCCTTCCCAGGAACTGAGAGTATTTGCTCCCAAGAGTTTTTCCTGTTTCCCTGACCTGGGCAGGGTGGCTCATCCCACTGGCTTGGAAGGTCCTTGGTCCTACAAACCTTTGTTTCTGCTCCCTTGGTTTAGGCATCCTATGGAGCTCTCTCTCGTCGGTGGGGCCAAACATGTTGCTCTGACTCTTCCGCAGGGCCTCGCCTTTTGGGCTCCTGGGTTCCTGCTGCCCCTGGCTGCTGCCTTCCTTCCATGTGGGGTCCCGAAGCCCCTGAGAAACTGACGTGTCCTTACTGGACATTCTCTGGGAACCAGACAGAGAGGCCTGGGAATCCGACAGATGGGCCTGGGAATCGGAGAGGCAGGCCTGGGAATCAGACAGAAAGGCCTGGGAATTGGACAGAGAGGCCTGGGGAGACAACATGTCTGTGGGGGGGGGAATGTTGGTGTGATGGCCTCGAAAGCAAAGGCCAGTGCCACAGTCTTGGAGGAGGACACCAGTGGCAGGGCCTTGAAGCTGGTTCTCTGTCTCTACCTCCACTTTAAACTCAAATTTACTCACAACCTTTGCTTTCATGTGTAGCTCTCCTGGATCCTCGGTACCAGAAATTCTAGAGAGTGGGGAGATTTTACTGGTCCCCAGAAACCCTGAACTGAGATTCACAGCAGTTTGGGAGTTTGCCATCATACTGGCTCCAAAGGTGACTTTCCAACCAGGGGTCTTCTCCTTCTCAGCCTCCACTGGCTCCATGGACTCCTCAACCCCTGAAGACAGGGACTTTCCTCTGAGCTCCAGCATTGCTGTGCTACTGCAGGGGTCTCCTGAGGCCACACTCTCCTTCTCCTCCCATGGCTCATGCCTGGCCATTGCTGGACTTGGACTAAGCTCTGGGCGGCCTGTTCTGGCCCCCAGGAAGGTAGTGCTCTGCCACGTTCTACTCTCAAGGCTGCATGTGAGGGACTGAGAAGACCACCTGCCCTCCTGTCCAGTCGGAGGGGCCTCTGAGTGCTCACGGTTTTCCCCAGACTGGATGCCTCGCAGGTCTCTTTGGATGTCCTGACTCACAGGAGAGGGGGCAGAGAGAAAACCAGTCAGAGTGAGGATTGACTGTTTTCTTGTTATCACCTTCTCTCCTGGGCCTTTCCAATGATGTTCTCCTAGGAAATTGGCAACCTCGGCAATGGAGTCATCCCCAAATTCACCAATCTCCCAGGAGGGAAGGGTGGAGTGTGCAAAAGGTGGGGATTGAGCCTTGAGATTTATGGGCTTCAGGAGCTGGAGGTTTGAATCCCACCTATGCCTCACCCGAAACCTTTTAATATGTGCTTCTAGTATCTGTTGAGTGCATGGATCAAGGAAGAAAAGCTCCTGGGAGGTGTTCACATGGCATTTCTGACCTAACCAGGGTGCTAGATTTCTGGGCTTTTTTTGGGTGCCAGACTCAGGAATAGCACGGCTGGCAGTACGCCAGGACTGACGCGCTTGCACAGGGATCATGCCCGCATTGATCTCCTCCAGCTTCCGGTCCAAATGGAGATTCAGGAATTTTTCAACAGGCTGCTTCCCTTGGCCCCTGAGTAGGTAATTTCCTGATTTATACTTCTGGAGCCTAATCCAGTCAGCATCTGACTCCTCATCCTCTAGAACCTTCACTGAGGTGTTTATTGAACCTGTGCATGGATCTTTTGGGCCCCTCTCCAGATCTTGCCTTAGGTCCCCGCTTGGATGCTTGTCTTCTTTGACCCTCCTGGGGCCTTTCCAAGGGAATCTTTCAGACCATCTGGACCCCATCTTCTGTACATTCTTGCTTCTTTCATCTGCTACAAACACATGAGGCTGGAAGTGACCCCTCTCTGGGAATTCACCCTGAGGTTGCATCAGTTCCTCAGATGCTTGGGCTCTCCAAGGAGGGCCTGACTGGTGTTCACCTGGGCCAAAACTCCTCGGAGTATGTTGCTCCTGCTGCTCCTGGTGCTCAGGGCTAATGAAAGCCCCAGGAAGGGTGGAGGCTGATGTGTGGCTCTGGGAGGCCTGGCTATCCTGAGGAAGGTCAGAGGTGGGTTGGCTAAAGGCTTCCTGAGCAGTTTTGAGCAGAGAGGGTAAAATCTTCTTCCATCTCAGTTGCTTCTGCAAGGGCCATTCCAGATGGTCACTTTCAGTTGGGATGAGGAATTCTGCCTTCCTCTGGGATGTAGGACATGTTGTTCTATAGCCCTCTGTAAGATCCTCTTTACCATGGGGTGGAAAGAAATATGGTATGTCTGGGGGAGAGTGTGGGGGATAGGCCTGGGCATGGACCTCCTCCAGAGGTGGGGGTTGGGGCTGGGGCTGGGGCTGGGGCTGGGGCTGGGGCAAGGTTTGAGTCAAAGGCTGGGGTTGGGCCACGTGGTGGGGCCAGGACTGGGGCTGGGCCACGTGGTGCGGCCAGGGCTGGGGCTGGGCCACGTGGTGCGGCCAGGGCTGGGGCTGGGCCACGTGGTGGGGCCAGGGCTGGGGCTGGGCCACGTGGTGGGGCCAGGGCTGGGGCTGGGCCATGTGGTGTGGCCAGGGCTGGGGCTGGGCCTGAGGAGCCTGTGAAGGTGCTTCAGCCCAAGTGCGAGCTGAATTGAATGAAACAGAGAGATGTGGTTTTGAGGAAGACTTCCTAGAAACCCAGGCAGTAGCCACCAGGGACTCGCTGTGCAGAGAGGGGAGGCCCCAGAACAGCTGGCTGCATTTCTGCTGTAAATTGTCCCCCACGGCCTTGGGATGGGGGAGCTGCTGAGGACCAGGCAGCTGCTGTGCTTTGTCTCTCATGTTCCAGAAAGGGTGTGGGCTTATGGTATCCTGCTCCCCACTTGGTGATTTTAACATATTCCCCAGAGAACCCTGGGGGTTGTCTGGGCTCATTTGTTTCAGAAATGACCCTTCCTTTTCTTTCTCCTCCCACAGCTTCAGCTCTGCTCTCTTGGTGATGAGCATCTCCAGGAGCTTCCTGACGTTTGGGTGGAGGAAAGGAGGGCCACCAGCCTTTGTCTGCCTGAGTGTGGGGTCTCCCCAGAATGAAGCCTCTGGTGGATGGTGGAAAAATGGCTCCTGCTGGGATTTTCTGTGGTGTGAGATGGCGAGGAACAGGGCTTTGGCAGTCGCCCACCACCAGGAGAGGAACAAAATGATGCATTCAAGGCCTGAAGTGGCCAAAACAGGAGGTGCCAAACAAGAGTAACCTGGAGGTGAGCTGTCTGGGACAGTGCCCAGGGGGACGCTCTTCGAGTCACACTGGTCTCCTTGAGGTTCTACTGACAGGGTGGAGGCCAGAGGCAGAGGGTGTTTGGCCATGGGAGCTGGGGAAGCCAATGGGGATGAGGTGGTGGGAGAAGCATCTTCCACATGCTCCCCACAAGGCTGGTGGGCTCTGGCAGGCGCTGATGTACACACCTCCCCTGGGGGGTCTGGACATGAGAGCTGTTGAAAGCCCCCATTGTCAGGGAGCTTCCCCAGGTGGCTGCAGGAGACAAGGAGCACAAGCTGCAGCAAGGGCAGGTGGGACCTGGGGGTGGGCCAGGGGTGGCACTTGCTGCCCATGGCCCCTCCACTGCCCCCATTCTGACTTCTCAGAACTCTGCCCCTCCCAGGCCCCAGGGCTCTAGTCACATCTCATCCCCTTCCCTGGTCTCCCCCTCCCAGGTCAGTCCCAGGCCCTGGTAGGAAGGAGGATATGAGAGTAGGGGAGAGTCCCTCACCTCTGCAGAAGTGAAGTCAGGTCTCGAGCCCCCTCCAGTTCCCTCAGGCAATCTCTACAAGCTGGAAATCAGGTGCCAGGTTAGGGGGGAAGGGAGGGGCCTGGGGATCTCACAGGAAGCTGAGTGTCCATCTAGGACAGACCATGGGGGATTAGACCCTGGAGCCCATACATCCATGTCCAAGGCCATGTGACCCCAGCAGTGACAGCAAGAAGGTCTTTAGGCAGGCTTCATCATGTACACAGTGCTCCCACATCCATCCCCCAGGGTCCTCACACCTCCTTGTTGGGGGAGAAGACAGGGGTAGCCTCAAAGAGCAACCAGCCTTAGCCAGGCTAAGCAGCTGTCCACAATTGGGCCTGGAGGCCCCACCACCACACCCAAGCCCTTAGTGGGTAGCACCCATTCCCTGCCCACCTGGCTTCATACCCAGCATGGGTTCTGAGAAGACTCCTGGGTTCTGGTTTTCTTCCCAGGAGCCCCCTCAGCCTCTGCAGTTGACTTCCTGGGAGACTTGTTCCTCAGGAACAGTGAGGCTAAGTCCCCCGGGAGGTTCCGTGTGGAGTGGCAGAGCCTTACCTTTAAGAGCACAGCAGTTCTTCCTGCTCCTGGGCCTCTCCCTCCTCCCCACGGAATGCTGAGAGACAAGAAATATTAAGAGGCTGGGACCAGTCCTCACTCACTTCCCCCTAGACAAGCTGCACACATTTAGTGCTCATGGAGGACATGATCTTCTACATCTAGCTAATGAACCTATGTCTTTTTTCTTACCTTTCACTCATTTTTAAAGTGGATAAAACTATTTTCTGTTTTCCGTCTTTGAAAAATGCAGAGAAGGATTTTTTTATTTTTTTTATGAGAAATCCACCATTGGTGTCTTTCATAACTATTCCTCTGGTGAACTAAAATAAAATTCTAAGCCTTCCATTTGATTGAAAAGACTCCCTCTTGGCCCTGGGGACCCCAGAAAAACCTTAAAATTGAGTTGACCCACCATGAAAAGGAGGTCAGATTGGCCTAGTCATCCCCCTCCCTTTTGGAGTTACTCATTATAACAATAAGATAACAATAACAATCAGTAACAGGACCTAAGGCCATGCAAGACAAAGGTTAAACCACACCTGCAGGCCATCAATTTACTTAACAGATCACATGAGTCCAGTATATGTCCAGTGGCTTATCTCCAATTAACTTATTTTAACTTAAAACACTCCAAGCCTTTAGACAAATCTTCATTTCTTTAACCAATTACAAATGAAAGACTCTTTGAATCGACTTATAACTTATAAGCTCTCACTTTAGGATGTCCTGCCTTTTAGGGCCAAACCAATGTACACCTTCCATGTGTTAATGATTTTATGTATAATTCCTGTCCCCATGAATATATAAAACCAAACTGTAACCCAGCCTCTTTGGGCACATTTTCTCAGAACCTCTCAAGGCCATGTGTTCTGGGCCATGGTTACATACAATCTACTCAGAATAAACCTCTTTTAATTATTTTACAGAGTTTGGGTTTCTTTCCCATTAACACTTTGGTGCAGAAGCTGACTCAGACCTCCAGGGACGTCTGAGCTGTCAGGCAGGATTCTGCTTCCCAAGGATGCCAGAGGTCACTCCCCACCCATAGGAGGCTCTCAGGGCCTCCTCACAGCCCTCAGATCATCCAACACGGAAGAAAGGCTGGCCCACAGAAATGTGACTGTTGACTGATGAACCAAGGCTCAGGGCCATCCTCCCATGGAGAACTCAACTCTCTCATAACCCAGTCCTCAGTCCCTGAGCCCCAGCATTTGATTTAGCCTTGAAGCCTCCTGTGAACCCACACAGGTGGTCTGAGAGCTTTGGCTAGAAATCCCATGCCACTCTAAACACCATCAGCCCCCTACTCTGCCTCTGGGACTAGAAGGATCAGGAAATTCCCATTTCAGGGCTTTCTACTTGATATGGAAAAGTGGAAATAATTATAGATAAGAGAATCATTCTCTGCTGGGTCTGGGCGGAGGGTTCCTTACCTTCCTGATATTTCTTTTCTGCCCAGGTGGTGGTGAGGGTGGATTATTCTGGAGGCAGGGGAATAAGAGGAGGAAGAGCCCCAGTCCGCACAGAAGGCCCAGGATAATATCCATCACCCAGGCAGTGGATCTGGAGCTCAGCCATGTGGCGCTAATGCTTTTCAGAAGAGAGAGATGGTTCTCCATCTTCTGAATCGCACTACTGACCTCAAGCAACTGAGCCCTGGGCGTGTCCTTTGGGCCTATTGAGTAGGGTCTGGGCCTGCATCACAGAGCTGTGGCCTTCTCATCACAAAGGGCCTTCTCATCACCTGAGAGTGGGGGAAGGGCCATGAGAGGAGGAGGCTGAAACCCACCCCTCCCCCACCACTCAGCCCTGCAAATCCCTCCACCTTCTGGGCTTCCAGATCCCTCTTTCCGATTCCACCTGCTCTATCTGTCAGAGATGGAGCTCAGTCGATTTTCTTTTCTTTCCCCTTGGAACTCAGATATTACCGGGTTCCTTTTATCCCCTGGAGGATGCTGGCTTGAGCCCACCAATTTCATAGCCTTTGAAAGTCTGAAATTCCCCCAGGAATTGTGCTTATTTTCTAGGGATTTTTCCTCTCAAAATCTCTTCTCTCATAATTTTCCCATGTAAGTTTTCTGTTTTCATCAATTCAGAAATAGAACTTAACTTTATACTTATTTAATTTTGTGAAATTTGAATATTTTAGTTATGATTGTTTATATTAATCTTTGCTATCTTGACTCACGGTCTGACACAAAAATTCAACCTAATGATTTGTTAGTTAAAATTTATAAAACTAAGTGTAATAAAAATACAAATTATTAAACTTCCAAATGTTTTTTTATTTTTTAGTTAGTAACAATTCTGAGTTATAAAGGTTGAAGAAAGACTTATGGAACTTGCTGTAATACACACACACATGCACACACACACTTGACAAACTAATTCATTATTTTTAAATCCAAGGCTTAAATAGTTCCTCATTTTCTTTACATCTTCCATAATTTGTCTTGATCCTGTTTTGTTTTACTCTGCCCAAAATACAGTCCCCACTCTCCAGAGCTTTGGAACATATGTGCTACACATGTTAGCCAGGAATAGGTTATCGTGAGCTGAAGTACTAATCCTTAGGATGGAGAATGGGGCTGCGGAACAAAAGCTTGTGTTTGAGTCTAGTCTTTTTTTTTTGTCTGGGCTAGAGTGCCATGGCATCAGCCTAGCTCACAGCAAACTCAAACTCCTGGGCTCAAGTGATCCTCCTGCCTCAGCCTCCTGAGTATCTGGGACTACAGGCATGCACCACCATGCCCAGCTAATTTTTTCTACATATTTTACTTGTCCGGCTGATTTCCTTCTATTTTTAGTAGAGATGGGGTCTCACTCTTGCTCAGGCTGGTCTCGAGCTCCTGACCTCAAGCAGTTCTCCCACCTCAGCCTCCCAGAGTGCTATGATTACAGGCGTGAGCCACTGCGCCCAGCCTGAGTCTAGTCTTTAGCAGCCTCTTCTGATTTCTCTGCCATCTTCTATACATTTTCTTTCCTTCAGAATATGCTTCATGCTTCTTTTCCTAAGAACCCAACTCTGTAAAATAATGTAAAGAGGTTTATTATGAGCCAAGTATGTGTGACCATGGCCGACAGGCACACCCAAGAAGCCTTGGGCAAGTGATCTCACCATGGTTGGGTTACAGTTTGGTTTTATACATTTCAGGGAGATAGGAATTACACATAAAGTCATAAATCAGTACATGGAAGGCTACTAATAAAGTTTTAGGGGAGTCAAAAGTTACATGCGAATCTTCAACTGTGCATTGGTTCCTCTCATTCCTTCAACAGGGCATTGGCACCCCTCACCTCTCGCTAGCTCCCTCCAGCCTTTTCATAAGGACACTTAATCTCTTTCTGTTATGGTCCAGAGTGTGAGAAAAAACCACCTTAGAAACTGAATTGGGTCAAATTGTGAGTCTTTATTAGCTGTCCAGGACTACTTCTGCCCTGCAGAGTGGCAGGCACAGAAAAAAGCGATGAGCTAGGAAAAACGGCCCCTTTGTAAAGACAAAAACCACACTCTAAAAATCTAAATAGCAATCACTTTTACAAAAGCGAGGGAAAACATTAATCTTACATTTCTGTCTTGTTTTAGCACAATGAGGGGGGGCGTTGGAGCCTTGAGAAGGGTTTTTAGGAGTCACTGGCTGCAGCTAAGATTCAGCCAAGAGGAAGCCTCTGAAGTAGCCTAATTATGGACATTAATCTTAGTTGAAATACATTCCGCATTCTGTGATCTACCCAGAGCGCATTCCACTAGGTACATGAAGCATGTCAGGCGCTTCAGGGTCCAGGGCTTTTTGACCCTGGACTAGCAGCTATATCTTGTGGGCAGTTGTGCCATGCACCACCACCCTTCTCCTTATTTTCTAAACTTAATCATACTAGCAGGAGTGAGATGGCAGGTCCGAAGTCAGATAAGGGTCAGCTGAAAATTTTCCACTCTCCTAAGCAAGCAAGGAAGGAAGCATAATACAGAAGCTAATGGTGGGTTATTTGCTACCTATGGTCCCTAGGCCCTAACAATTCATGAGGGCAGAGCCCTTGTGACTTAATCACCTCCCCAAGGGTGGTGATTAATACTGTTGCATTGGGATTAATTTTCAATATGAATTTTGAAGGGAACACAAACCACAACAGTATTTAGTGCCATAAATTCCCCTATGAAGACAGCATAGCTGCAACTCAAACATAGTGATATGTAGTATTAATTTTTTATCATTCAATATTTTCTAATTTCCATTGAAACTTTTTTGTTCCATTGATTATTTAGAAATGTATTTAATTTTCAAATATATGAGGATGTTAAGTTATATTTCTGTTATTTATTTTTAGTTGAATTGTACTGTGGAGAGAATGTGTCCTATATGAATTCAGTTATTTGAAATCTATAGAGACTTGCCTTATTACCCAGCAAATTATCAGTTTTTGTATGTTTTGTGTGTGCTTGCAAAGAATATATATTCTGCAGTTTGGGGATACAGTGTTCCATGTATCAATTTTGCTAATCATATTTTTCAAGTCTATATCCAAACTGATTTTTTTGTTTTATCAGTTCTGAGAGATGTGTTAGATGATGGAGGGAGTTTCTGGGGACCAGGAATGTCTCAAAAGAAAGAGTAATAGGGTGTGAGAGACTGGGCTGGGGGGAGACTAAGGATCAAAGATGGAGCAGAAGCGGAACAGAAAGCCCCATTCAGCAGGGCTGAGGAGGGGCAAAGGAGGCAGTGAGGAGGGCTGTGGATTAGATGGGAGTCTTGGAAGGCAACCATATAGCAGGATGAGGTAGACAATCAGCACATAATCCCCATCCTCCACGCTGTCACTTTGGCACCTGGTGACAGCAGTGGTTACCCATTCCCCTCCTCTTCCTCAATCAAAAACAAATCAAGTCAATGGGAAAGTGACAGTCCCTGCCCTTTGTTGACCACTCAGAGCTGGGGCCAAAGAGAGTCTGGGGAGTCAGCTGGCCTTCTGGGCATCAGGTTCTAAAGGACAAGGCACAAGGGTTGGGCTACACAGCAAGGCCAGGACAGAGCAACAGCAGCTAGAAACATGTCTCCTGATCTAATCAGGACAGATGTTCTCACACTGAGCTCAGACAGCACATGTCTCAGGTTCTTTAAGTGTTCCTGAAGTGGGGTGGGGTGTGCAGGTTGTGGCAGCCCCTGGCTTTTGTGTGCCAAGCTAACGCCCATTATAGAGCTTTACCTTCCCTGCGCTCCTTCCCAGAGGCAGCCAGGTCAGGACTGTATTCCCATTTCATAGTCACAAAAGCTGGAATTCAGGTAAATACGGTACCTTGCTCCAGGTTACCCAGACTCTTTGCAGGCAAAGCTGAGGTCAGAAGCCAGGCCTCATGGCCCCTAATCAATAAGGCCTGCTATACTACAGCATGGCTGGAAGGCTCCCCTCCCTAGGGTGGCCTGTTATTCTTGCTCTCTCCCTCCCAGGTATAGCCAGGTACTTTGATGCCACATGGGAAACTATCCTGAGCTTGTCAAGGAGGACTCAGGAGGAGGAGGATATGTTGGTGCAGTGTCAGGGCAAGGGTCAGGGGGGTCTAGGTAAGCTCTGTGGGAATCAGGGAGAGAGCAAAGAAGGGGAGCAAAAGATGAGGTCCTTGAATGTGGATCACAGAAGCCAGGGAAGGGGTGGGAGGTGGCGGGGAGCAGGCCAGGTGTGAGTAAATGCTCTGCTCCATTGTCTGGTTTGGGGCCAGGACCAAACTTGATCAGGATGCTGTGTGTGTTGACAGCCTCACCAATTTCCTTGCCCTTCTGGGTGGACCAGCAATCCTCCTGCCTCAGCCTCCTGAGTAGCTGGGACTACAGGCATGCGCCACCATGCCTGGCTAATTTTTTCTATATATATTAGTTGGCCAATTAATTTCTCTCTATTTATAGTAGAGATGGGGTCTCGCTCTTGCTCAGGCTGGTTTCAAACTCCTGACCTTGAGCAATCCGCCCGCCTCGGCCTCCCAGAGTGCTAGGATTACAGGCGTGAGCCACTGCGTCTGGCCCATTTATTTCTTCATTAGTTATTTAGTGAGTCTCAGCTATGATCCAGGTATTATTACATGTGCCAGTTAGAAAGCAAGACTCTCATGGAGCTGACATCCTGGTGGATGAAACAGACAATAAACAAATATACTTATATACATATATATACACTCACTTTAATTCTTGGAGATGTACAAGCAGCAATTAGATTATGAGTTTGAGGTGTCAAGAAAAATATGAGCTGCACATACAGATTTAAGAATTACCAGTATACACATGATAGTTGAAAGTGGAGTAGAAAAGGTTTCCCAGGTAGAGAGCATGATGACTTACTTTCTGTGGCATCATTTCTACTGCTATGATTTTCTCCTTCTTATGGGATTTGTGCAATCATGTGCAGTCGATGTTTTAGGTGGTATCAATTATTAGTACAGTAATGCAATGCAATAAAAACCACATGAAAACCTAGTAAGTCCCTAAAAGAAATCTTAATTAAAAGAGGTATATGTTAGTGGGTTTTTGACTGGTTTGTTATGAGCAATAGTTAACAGAAATTATTAGTTAAGAGGTACAGTTTTAGTTACAAACAACAAAGACGATTCTCCCTCCACCTTTGGCCAGCTAGAGTTACGATGTCTGCCTCCGGCCACTCCATAGAGCGGTGAGAGCAGGAGCGAGGCTTCAGCACTCAGGCCGTGTGTTTTGCCAACACCTGCGGTGTGCAGTTGCCTGTGTGGCTGGAGGGGCACTGAGAGATCAGTGGAGAACATCACTAGAAGGAGAACTGAAGGATGAACTAACCAGGTCATGGTACCTGGAGATGCACGTGCGAACTGACATACTGAACTGGAGAACTAACTCGCGGCTCTCAAAATCATCAGAACTTAAATCGTCAACCAAGATAGCCAGAGACCGTTATTAATCTGATTAATAATAACAACGGCTAACTCTGAGGACACTGTCAAATTTACTGTCGCTCGACAAAAAAACGCACACTCCTAACGCCAGCAACAAAGGGCGCCAAGAGCCAACACGGAGGGAGCACGAACTCTCGCGAGAACTGCCGAAACATCGCGGAAGCTCAGCGCCGCGGGAGCCCGAACTCTCGCGACAAAGGCTGGCAGTGGCGGAGGCGCGGCTTTGGCCGAGCGCGGAGGCATGGCCAGACCCGGGCCGTCCTGGAGTCGGCTGGACAGGGAGCAGGAGCGCGATGTGCGCGAGCTCGTCCGGCGCGTCACTGGACTCCAAGACGAAGCAGACCGCAACTTCCAGCTCGCCTTAAACTTCGCCTGGTCTAACTTCAGGTGTGGGCGCGGCGCGCGGGCCGGTGCCTGGCCACAGCACCCGGGCCCAGCGCTCGGGTGCCCGCCGCCCTCCGGAGCCCGGGGCGGTGCGCGTAGCCGGGCCGCGGGAGCAGGGGTGGGTGAGTGGGCGCGACAGCCGTGGGGAGGCCTTCGCAGGCGATGCCCAGGCCCCCCATTGTAGGTGGTGGGCTGTCAGCCCCCCTCAGCGCTGCACTGCTAGACTGCACGTCCTTGTCTGCCCCGTTCCCCGCTGTAACTATTGCACTTGCACAGTGTATAGCACATCAGAAATCATTTTTTCAGTGAATGGGCAAGTGAATTTTTAAAGCAAAAGTACGGTCACTCTCTGAAATTGTGTTCTCACTGACTCCCTTTCCCTGCCCAGGTCACTGCAGATTTCCCTTAGTTTCTCCAAAACGCAAGTCATGACACATTGAATAATTTTATTTAGTGTTTACTCTGTCTCCCACACTTCCACCTCTAGCTACAATGTAAGTTGTATCCCAGCACCTAGAACAGTTCCTGGCACATAGTACACTGAGTCCTGTAATACAATTTCTAATGCAGTTTCTCTTGTAATTAATTTTTGAAGACTTATAGAGAAGATTTATATGTAGGTGGAGTCAGATCGCCTGTTTTTCTTTATGGGTGATGTAAATTAAACAATTGTATGGTCATTACCCATAATGGAATTATTAATGTTACCAAAAGAATGTTAGTCATTGTTAATATTCTATCTATTTAATTTCAGTCTGAGACAGTCTCACTCTTGCCCTGGCTAGAGGCCAGTAGCGTCAGCCTAGCTCACAGCAACCTCAAACTCCTGGGTTCAAGCAATCCTTCTGCCTCAGCCTCCCGAGTAGCTGGGACTACAGGCATGTGCTACCATGCCCAGCTAATTTTTCTATATATATTTTTAGTTGGCCAATTAATTTCTTTCTATTTACGGTAGAAACGGGGTCTCACTCTTGCTCAGGCTAGTTTCAAACGCCTGACTTTGAGCCATCTGCCTGCCTTGGCCTCCTGGAGTGCTAGGATTACAGGCATGAGCCACCGTGCCTGGCCTAATTTCAGTAAATTAAATCTTAAGTAGTGAACAGGTTTTCAAAATATGTAATCTTGATTACCTTAATGATTGTAGCCATAAAGTGTGGAGTTGGTTTATAATAGGAATAGAGAGCTTTCAGATTCTTTGAAAGCATGCCAAGTTTCTGAAATAATAAACTCAGTGCTTAAATGCAACTTATAAAAATAGCCAAGTGTGAAATAGGTCATATAATACAGAAATGTTGTATTCCCAAATAATTTTTCTCTTTATATTTATAAATGGAAGTAAGCAGATGGTCATCATTTTAGAGTTGAGATAGATGTTAGAAGTTACTGTCTCCTTTTACAGATTGAGGAAATAAATTATGGTAGGTAAAGTGGTGTTCCGTTCAGCCATTTACTGGGATAGAATTAGACGTGTTGTTGTTATTATTTTGACACAAGTCTCACTCTGTTGCCCGGGCTAGAGTGCCATGTCATCAGCCTGGCTCACAGTCACCTCAAACTCCTGGGCTCACCTCAAACTCCTGGACTCAAGCGATCCTCCTGCCTTAGCCTCCTGAGTAGCTGGGACTACAGGCATGTGCCACCATGACCGGCTAATTTTTATATATATATATATATATATATATTTATTTATTTTAGTTGTCCAGCTAATTTCTTTCTACTTTTTTTAGTAGAAAAAAAAGTAGACAGCATCTCACTCTTGCTTAGGCTGGTCTCGAACTCCTTTGCTCAAACGATCCTCCTGCCTCGGCCTCCCAGAGTGTTAGGATTATAGGCGTGAGCCACCATGCCCGGCCTAGATGTATTATTAAGTAGTGTAATTTGCTTCTTTTAAGTACACATTGCTGGCTTTGGTACTAAAACACAGAAAACAAGAGTTGAGTAAGTATGCTATAATTTTATGTTGCTTTAATACAGCAGAAAAAGGAATATTTCACGTTTGTATTTTTGAAAATTGTGGCCATGTTCTAGGACCTAGAAATTCAGAGATGGATAAGATACAGCCTCTGTCCTTAAGAAAGACAGAGACAGGAGGGAGGGGGAGAAAAAATGGAAGAGAGAAAAATCAGTTACAGTGTGATGTATAATAAGGGTTCTTAACCCGAGGGTCCAAAGGTATAATTTAGGTGTTTATAAATTTGGATGAGGAAAAAAATTATACTAACCTCTGACTGAAAAGTAGTATTTCCTTCCGTTATGAAGGCAACAGACCACAGTAGTGTTAGCCTACCTATGACTTTGGCACCTGTAGAAATCACATACTATTTGCAGGTCATATTATGAGTTGTACATATTTCTAAATATTGCTTACTGTTACTTTTTTTTTTTTTTTTTTTATAGACAGAGTCTCACTCTGTTGCCTAGGCTAGAGTGCCGTGGCATCAACCTAGCTCACAGCAACCTCAAATTCCTGGGCTCAGGTGATCCTTCTGCCTCTAGCCTCCCAAGTAGCTGGGACTACAGGCATGCGCCACCATGCCTGGCTAATTTTTTCTATATATTTTTAGTTGGCCAATTAATTTCTTTATATTAGAGACGGGGTCTTGCTCTTGCTCAGGCTGGTTTCGAACTCCTGACCTTGAGCCATCCACCCGCCTCGGCCTCCCAGAGTGCTAGGATTACAGGCATGAGCCACTGCGCCCAGCCTGCTTACTGATACTTTAATGGTAGTTATTTGACCCACTGCTAGATCCTGTTGTTTAATGTTTTCATAAAGAACTATATCTCTTACTGTATCATTAACTTTTTTTTTTTGAGACAGAGTCTCGCTTTGTTGCCCAGGCTAGAGTGAGTGCCGTGGCGTTAGCCTAGCTCACAGCAACCTCAAAACTCCTGGGCTCAAGCAATCCTTCTGCCTCAGCCTCCCAAGTAGCTGGGACTACAGGGATGGGCCACCATGCCCGGCTAATTTTTTCTGTATATATTAGTTGGCCAATTAATTTCTTTCTATTTATAGTAGAGATAGGGTCTCGCTCTTGCACAGGCTGGTTTCGAACTCCTGACCTTTAGCAATCCACCCTCCTCGGCCTCCCAGAGAGCTAGGATTACAGGCGTGAGCCACCGCGCCCGGCCTGTATCGTAAATTGTTTGAAATATTTGACAACTGTAATTCAGTATACTTGGTTTCCTTTGTATTTTATTTTATGCATTTAAATACATTATTCAGATAAAGGGTCCTTAGGCTTCACACTAAGGGGTTTACTCTGACATAAAAATGATTAGGAACACATGATGTAGAATGTGCTTTGCTGGACTTAGATACAGGGCTTTTGGGGAAGGTAAAGGAGCCAGAGGATAAGGTTGGGAGGGTCAGGATGCACTTGTGTCCTGAGGAAAGGATGCTTGAGCAGTCTCTGAGACACTGCGATTATTTGCCTGCCTGGTGGTGGAGGTAATGGAAGATGAGGTGCACATCATTCTGGAAATGTACAGCTGAGTTCAGAGTGTATGGGGGATGGGAAGGGCTGTGAGATGAGTTTACTTAGCTATAGGACAAAATTGGCATAAGAATTGCATTTTGTCTTTATTAGATTTCATCGTTTCTTGGATGTCAACAGCCATAAAATAGAAAAGACAATGGAAGGGTAAGTCGGTTTTATTCTCATATATATGTATATATTCAGAAATACATATATTTTCTTATAGATCTTTTTGTTAATAGAACTTTATAATAGTTGATTTTTTTATATTTTAGAATTTATGAAAAATTCATCATTCATTCTGATCTCATCAAAGCTGCTAGTTGGAAGAGATTAACTGAGGAATTTCTAAATGCATCACTTCCTAGCATAAAGGAAATAAAGGTTTGCTTTCAGTTATGAGATCTCTGTTGTACACTGTTTTCTGTGTGATTATTGTCAACTTGTTTCTGTTAAATGTTTGAACATTTATTTGTTCTATTTTAGTATTGTCCACTGGCTAGAACAGGACCTCCTAGAAATTGATTTCAGTATTGCCATCAAACCAAGTGTGCCTCAGCTTGTGATGAAAGAGCTTGTTCTTGTTTAATCATCTTCTTGCCTCAAACCTACTGTGGAAATAGAGATCAGAGATGGGCTCAAATAATAGCACTGTTTGTATATCTTAAAACTGTCAAATGGCTTCCCAGAGCTTGGAAATAACTGCCTATCGATGCTTATTAATGCCAGGTGCACTTTCATATTGTGCTGGGGATCCCCAAGACCACCCTTAGGTGCAGTGATTCACCAGAAGGATTCACATAACTCAAAAAAACTATTATTCTCACTGTTATGGTTTATTACAGTGAAAGGATAGAGATTAAAATCCGCAAAGGGAAAAGGTGCATAGAACAAAGACCAGGAGAAACTAGGCCCAAGTTTCCAGATGTCCCTTCCTGGTGGATTTACCTGGGGATGCATTTAATTTTCCCAGTGAAGGTGTGTGACAACACGTGCAAAGTGTTGCCAACCAGGGAAGCTCACCTGAGCCTTGGTGTCCAGGGCTTTTATTGGGGGTTGGTCACATAGGCAGACAGTGCCTGTGTCACTGACCTTAGCTACTCAGTCTCCAGCCCCCCCCTCCCTCGGTCAAAACAGATATTCACCATGAGTTATGTTGTTAACATAAACAGTCTGGTCAAACGGATACAGTGTGGCCCCAGGCCTTTGACATGCAGAAATACCCTTCTCAGTAGGATATTCCAAGGGCTCATAGGTTATCCCAGGAGCCCATCAAAGGTCATTCCTAAAGACCTCTGGGATGTCAGGGTTTGGGCAACACAAGCTGCTGAGTTAACCCTTTACTACACACATGTATTTACTCATTTAATCCTCACAATAACTTTTGAAGAATATCCTGTTATTGATAGGCTTTCTCTTAGTCAACACTGTGGGAATTGGTGTCTTCAGGAAGAGAGTTTTAAAGTTTTTTAAAATTGTTCATCAATTTAAGGAAAGGCCTATAAAGGTATTTCTGGAAGAATGAGAGAGAGAGCTGCAGTGTTCTGAATTCATGCCCTGAGGAACAGAAATGTACTTCCATGTACTGTTCCCGCAAGGACCATTTGGGACAAAGAGGCAGATCTTTTTTAGATAGTTTCCTGATTGATTTCATATAGCTTTCTGGGTAGACTATAGAATTGAACATCTACCCTGTCACATATAAACATTAATAATGGCAAGCATAGGCACTGTTTTTAGGGCACTGTTCTTCCCATAAAGACTATATTCACTAGGTACTATTATATTACTATCTCCATTTTGGCAAGGCAAATGACTTACTCTCAGTTTAATATGTAACAATTAAAATAACTGTCTTATGCATGACATTTAAGCGAGACAGTGCGTGTAACTTCTGATTCCTTCTTTGACCTTCCATTGCCATTTCAGGTCATTTTTCTGTACACTTCCCGCTATGGGCTCCCCGAACATAGTAGGACCACATTCCCTCTCTCTGCTGTGTCATATCGTAGGCCTCACTGCATTGTTCTTCCCCTTTCTCCTGCCTGAGGAAGCTCAGCCTTTAATATTAAACTCAAGTATTGTCTTGATGCATACTATGTATTTCACTTTATTGTGTTTGTAATCGTTTGTTGCCTGTCTCCTCCTGTAACATGCAAATTTTACAAGTGCAGGGCTCTGTGATTGATTTGTTCTGAGGCGCTTAGACATGGTAGACAATACATATTTGTTGAAGGAATGAATAAATCTGTGCGGTCCTGTCTGCTTTGCTATCCATCTCTCTGTCGGTGGTTCCCACCCCACTTACATGAGGAAGGGGTGGTTACCGTTTTCTGTCTTGGCGCGTGGCATCTTAGACACATTTGTTATAGTATAACAGTAGCTTCACAGTTTTTTCCAGCTTTATTGATAAATAACTTCCATACCATAAAATTCATCCATTGATATACAATTCCCCTATTTGTAATAATGTATACTTATGCATTCATCACGACAATCCACTTTTAGAGCGTTTCCAGTACCCAAAAGTTTTCCTCAAGCCCCTTTGCAGTCAGTGCCTGCTCCTACCCTAACCCCAGACAACTTCTTTTTTTTTTTTTTTTTTTTTTTATACAGAGTCTCACTTTGTTGCTCAGGCTAGAGTGAGTGCCGTGGCATCAGCCTAGCTCACAGCAACCTCAATCTCCTGGGCTCAAGTGATATTACTGCCTCAGCCTCCCGAGTAGCAGGGACTACAGGCATGTGCCACCATGCCCGGCTAATTTTTTTTTATATATATTTTTAGTTGGTCAATTAATTTCTTTCTATTTTTAGTAGAGACGGGTCTCGCTCAGGCTGGTTTCGAACTCCCAACCTTGAGCAATCCGTCTGCCTCGGCCTCCCAGAGTGCTAGGATTACAGGCGTGAGCCACCACACCTGGCCAACCCCAGACAACTTCTGATCTGCTTGCTGTATTTATAAATTTGCCTTTTCTGGACATTTCATATAACTGAGATCATACAATATGCAGTCTTTTGTGTCTGGCTTCATTCACTTAGCATAAAGTTTTTGAGTTTCATACACGTTGTAGCGTATGTCTGTGTTCTAGTCCTTTTCATAGCTGAATAGTATTTTTTTATGTGTTTGCGCTACGTTTTGTTTATTCACAGTGGACAACATTTAGATTGTTGCCAGTTTTGAGTTATGATGAATAGTGAACTACTAAGAACATGCTCATGCAAGCTTTGTGTGGTCATATATCTTCATTCTCCATTGGTAGATTTCTAGGAGTAGAATTGCTGGTTTATATGGTAAGCTTAGGTTTAACCTTTTAAGAAACTACTAAATTGTTTCCCAACATGACTACATCATTTTATATTCCTACTAGCAATGTATAAGGGTTCTAGTTTCTCCACATCCTTACCAACACTTGTTATTGCCTGTCATTTTGATTATAGATATCCTAGATAGTATGTAGTAATATCTCATTGTGGTTTTGATTTACATTTCCCTAATACCCTGCATCTTTTCAGTTGAGTTATTTTTCTTCTTATTGAGTTATCAAGTTATTTTTCACACAAGTTCCTTATCAGAAAAATGGTTTAGAAATATTTTCCTCCGGTTTCTGGGTTTTCATTTTCTTAGTGGTGTTTTTTAAAGCTCAAAAGGTTTTGATTTTAATGAAGTCCATTTTATCAATTTCTTTCTTTTATGGCTCATGCTTTTGGTGTCATGTATAAGAACTCTTTGCTTAACCCAAAGTTATGAAGATGTTTCTTCTGTTTTCTTCTAAAAGTTTTATATAATAGCTTTAACACTTGGATTTAGGTCTGTGTTCCATTTTGACTTAATTGTATGTGTTTTGCGGAAAGGGTCTAAGTTAATTTTTTTCTACTTACAGATATACAACTATATGATCACTTTTTGTTGAAAAGGCTATCCTTTACCTATCAAATTGTCTTGACAATTTTGTCAAAAACAAATTTTCCATAAATATAAGGATATATTTTTGGTCTCCATTTTGATTTGATTTTTAGTAAGAGATAAAGTTCTAATTTGATTTTTCTGCATATGGTTATTCAGTTTTCCCAATACCATTTATTAAAAAGACTATCTTGGCAACTCTGTCAAAGATAAGTTCACTACAGATGTGTGTATTTATTTCTGGGTTCTCTATTCTGTTTTATTGGTCTATGTGTCTGTTTTTACACGAGTACCATGCTGTTTTGGTTACCTGAGTTCTGTAGTATAATTTGAAGTCAGGTAATGTGATTCTTCCAGTTTTGTTCTTTTTGGTCAGGATGGCTTTTGCTATTCTGAGTCTTTTGTGGTTCCATATGAATTTTAGGATTATTTTTTTTGTTTCTGTGAAGAGTGTCATTGGTATTTTGATGGGGATTGCATTCACTCTGTAGATTGCTTTGGGTAATACGGACATTTTAATAATATTGATTCTTCCAATCCATGAGAATGGAATATCTTTCTATTTTTTTGTGTCCTCTTCAGTTTCTTTCGTCAGTGTTTTATAGTTTTTTTTTTTGTTTGTTTGTTTGTTTTTTTTGAGACAGAGTCTCACTTTTGTTGCCCTGGCTAGAGTGAGTGCTGTGGCGTCAGCCTAGCTCACAGCAACCTCAAACTCCTCCTGGGCTCAAGCGATCCTCCTGCCTCAGCCTCCCAAGTAGCTGGGACTACAGGCATGCACCACCATGCCTGGCTAATTTTTTTCTATATATTTTTAGTTGTCCAGCTAATTTCTTTCTATTTTTTTAGTAGAGACGGGGTCTTGCTCTTGCTTAGGCTGATCTCAAACTCCAGAGCTCAAATGATCCGCCTACCTCCGCCTCCTGGAACGTTAGGATTACAAGTGTGAGCCACTGCATCCGATGTGCTCCTCATTTTTATGTGTTGATTTTGTATCCTTCAACTTGACTGAATTGATCAATTCTAATAGTTTTTTGTGGAATCTTTGGTTTCTTTAGATGTAAGATCATATTGTCTGCAAACAAGAACTTCCTTTCTGATTTGGATACCCTGTATTTCTTTCTGTTGTCTGATTGCTATAGCTAGAACTTCTAGTACTGTATTGAAACAGTGGTGAAAGTGGGCATCCTTGTCACGTTCCAGATCTTAGAAAAAAGGTTTTTCAGTTTTTCAGATGTCTTATACTTGTTAAAAATACAAGACTCAAGCTAGGCACAGTGGCTTGTACCTGTAATCCCAGCTACTCAGGAGGCTAGGACCGGAGGATCACTTGAGACCAGGAATTCAAGATGAGCCTGGGTGACATATCAAGGCCTTGTCTCTAAAAAAACATTTTTAAAAAATTAGCCAGGTATGGTGGCATGCACCTGTGGTCCCAGTTACTTGGGAGGCTGAGGCAGGAGGATAACTTGAGCCCAGGAATTCTAGGCTGCAGTAAGCTAAGATTGTACCACTGTACTCCAGGCTGGGTGATATAGTGACAACCTGTCTCAAAAAAAAGAAATGTAGAACTCAGACCTCAGGTAGCTTTGAGGCTCCTTATGTGTAAATATTTGAACTATGAAAAAAGTTTATAGAGATTAGAATTTATTTTGGTATAACTCATGTTTTCTCAAACTAGGAAAAGAATTAGGGACATAACTGTCATGGAGTTTTACTTACTCAAGTCTAGTTTAGAAAGCATTTACTAACCTCAGTGATTTATGTTCTTCATTTTTTGTTTTAAAGACAGATGCACATTATTCCATACTGTCACTTCTTCTGTGTCTGTCTGATTCTCCTTCGAACAGCAATTATGTGGAAACACCAAGAGACAAAGAAGTAGGTATGTTACCAGATGGATGGTTTAACATATAAGAAATAAAAGAGAAATTGATTTTATTGCTTAACTACTGGACATTGAGATTTTATTAAAAGTTGTAAAAATCTACGAAACTAAAATATTTCTGTTGCTTTGGATGCAATTGCAAAATTTCATTTAAAATGTAATCAGCCTCTGTATCTGCAGGTTCCAAATCCATAGATTCAACCATTTGCAGATCAAAAATATTCAAAATAAGTAAATAAATAACAATATGGCAATTAAAAATACAAATTTTTAAAAATACAATATAACAACTATTTACATTGTATTAAGTAATATAAGTAATCTAGAGATGATTTAAAGTATACTGGAGGATGTGCAGAGGTTATATGCATGTACCTACCACTTTATATATGGGACTTGAGCATCCTTGGAATTTTGTATTAGCAGGGGTGGGGGTCCTAGAACCAGTTCCCCTCAGATACCGAGGGGTGACTATATAAGTTCTAACTTTGTAAGTTAAACTACCTTCAATTATTTATAGAGAAAACTCACCTTTAAGAGTGAGTTAATTAGGCTGGGCGCAGTGGCTCATGCCTGTAATTCTAGCACTCTGGGAGGCCGAGGTGTGCGGATCGTTTGAACTCAGGAGTTCGAGACCAGCCTGAGCAAGAGCGAGACCCCATCTATACTATAAATAGACATTAGCCAAACAACTAAAAAATATAGAAAAAATTAGCTGGGCATGGTGGCACATGCCTGTAGTCCCAGCTACTTGGGAGACTGAGACAGGAGGATTGCTTGAGCTCAGGAGTTTGAGGTTGCTGTGAGCTAAGCTGATGCCACGGCACTTTAGCCTGGGCAACAGAGTGAGACTCTGTCTCAAAAAAAAAGAGTGAGTTAGTTAAAGTGTAAAATGTATTAGAATATCAATTTGTTAATTGTTTTAATATTTTTGTACTTTCATTTTCTGAGTGTATTTTATTTTGAGTAGTATTGGCCTTTTTTGCTATAGTTTTGAGGTTTTTTTCAATTATTATAATGCTGAAGAAGTTCTTCTGTTACATTTTAGACAAAAAAGATGATTTTGACTGGGGAAAATACTTGATGGAAGGTGAAGAAATTGACCTTGGTCCAAACGTAGACACACCAGTAAGTGGCAGTAGTTTTGTTATTGAAAATATAAATACATGCTGAGTGATATAGATGATTTTAATGGGTCTTTCTGCCCTGGGTAAACTTAGTGAAAACAGGAACTCTCTTCACTAACTCAGAGTAGTTATTATTAATAGCTCTACTTATTAGAATTTTGAGCCAAATCATTAGTACTAAGAAATTAAGGGGAGTGAATACCAGTGTCCCTTAAGGGCCTATGATCTTTCATTCCTAGATTTAAGATATTGCAGTATCTTCTAGTCAGTCACCTGAGTATTAACATTTTTTCATGATATCCTTCAAACAGAATCCATGATTTTTTAAATATTTTATTGTACTCAAACCTGTGGATTTTCCATATGGGTCAGTATTTGGGATATGAAATTTTTCTCAGCAAAAACATTTCCCTGTATTTTTTGCCACCAAAATTAATTCCATTCATCATGGTGGCAACATCATAATAGAAAAAGAGAATAATAATAATAATAATAATAATAATTCCATCCCTATAATAGCCACTTTCAAGGGATTTTTTAAAAATTTCATTTAGTTTTTGCTTTTCTTCCAAAGTTTTCTTAATCTTTTAACTAAATGGCTGTAAGTGTTATACTCTGTAAGGGTTAGCATATTTTCTTTTTAAATCAGGTCTGGTCTGAAGAAAGTGAAGATGAAGATGATCAACAGCCCTTAAGCAGAGAGGACTCTGGAATTCAAGTAGACAGGACACCATTAGAAGAACAAGATCAAAACAGAAAACTGGGTCCTTGCATCAGCTGGAAAGGTATTGTGTGTTGCTGGATGTTGGCTTTTCTGATAGAGGAATTCCCTAGAAGGAAAGGCAAGCTTTGGGATCAGTTCCATGTGATCAAGATATTGAGTAAGATCTGCTATCCTTATAAAACAAATCTTTTAAAGCCATTAGTAGATCTTTTTTATATAATGCCTAAGTAGTAGCATGGTAATTAATGTTGAATTAATGCATTTAGAGTACAGTTTTGTTCTTTTTTTCTTTTTCTAGTGCCAAGAACTTTGTTAGTCCTAAATATTTCTGTTTATTTTTTATTGGAGAAGGATTAACTTTGCTGATGTTGGTAACTAGGAAAAGCTAAAAAGGAAAAGAGCTATACAATTTATTTTCCAATTTAAAAGTCTGCTCTTTTATTTTTTAGGGAGGAACTATGAATTGGTAGAATCTAGAAAGAGCTGGAAGCAATCTTAAAGAGTAGAACATCTAATCCTACTTTTCATTTTATAGATAAGGAAACAAAGGCCACATTGCAGTGAGTTTCCCGTGACTAGGCCCTGTTCTCTGCACTCAAACCTTGCCTGATGGACATTAAGTAGTTAAAGCTGACTTAGTGTCCTAATGCTTTTGTGGCTTTGTTTTCTATTTCCTTTCTTTTTAATTCTTGAATTGGACCTCCAGGGTGGCAAGTGGTATCATGCCACCCTGCTCAGAGCACATTATCATCACTAGTCTATGTAGGATCTTTTAGTTTATTTCTTCTCTTTCTTTTGCTATTTGATTCCCACTCCTAATTCCCTTTGTCTGCCAGTCCAGTTATAAGCATCTGTTCTCATGTATTTGCTATCTATGTTCTTATGTACACGGAGTTCTTATAAGACACATTGTGTTGGTTGATGTGTTCTGTTTAATTGTGTAGCTGGTATTATGCTGTATCGTTCCTAACTGTTGAATAGGATTCTGCAGCTTAAAACTACCCTATTTCAATTAGCTGTTTCGTTGTAGATAGGCCCTGAGTTGCCTTCGCCTCCTCTGCCACACTGAGTACTTTGTCCACTCTGGATCATGTGAGAATTTGGCTGCAATATAAGTTCCTGCCCCCACAGTCTCATCAGTACTTGATAAGATTACCCCTTCCATTTTGGGTTATTGATGTTTCATTTGCATTTGTCTGACTACTAGTGATTTAGGGACTTCCTTATGTATTTGTTGATCCTTCAAGTTTGCCCCTTTTGTGAGTTGCTTGTCTTTTGACATCATTTGCTCATTTTTGTTTTAAGTTTCATAACCTTCCTGCACACCCCACCCTTCACAGTTCTTTGCAGATCTAAACATTCATTCTTAGATTTTAGACATTGCAGATATCTTCTAGTCAGTCACTTGATTGTTAACATTTTTTCGTGATACCCTTCAAAAAGAGTTTTCAAATTTTTTTAATATATTTTATTGTATATATTTTATTTATATATTTTGTATATATGTATATATTTTATTTATATATATAATATGTATATATTTATATATGTATATATTGTGTATATATGTATATATTTTATTTATATATATTTTTTTATATATTTTATTATACTCAAACCTGTGGATTTTTCATATGGTCAGTATTTGGGTCTTGAAATTTTTCTCAACAAAAGCATTCTCCTGTATTTTTCTTCTGTTTGTTTTTTTATAACTTACATTTGAGTCTTTAGTGACTACCAGGTCCACTCTTTTTCTTTTTTTTTAATTTCAGCATATCATGGAGGTACAAATGTTATGGTTACATATATTGCCCATGCCCCTTTCCCCCCTCAAGTCAGAGCTTCAAGCGTTACCATCCCCCAGACGTTGCACATCTCACTCATTGTGTTTGCATATACCCATCCCTTCCTCCCCCCTCCCACCTGCTCAACACCCGATAAATGTTATTCCTATATATCCACTTAGGTGGATCCGTTAATACCAATTTGCTGGTGAGTACAAGTGGTGCTTGTTTTTCCATTCTTGAGATACTTCTCTTAGTAGAATGAGCTCCAGTTCTATCCATGAAAATACAAGAGGTGCTATATCACCATTGTTTCTTAAAGCTGAATAGTACTCCATGGTATACATATACCACATTTTATTAATCCACTCATGTATTGATGGGTACTTGGGTTGTTTCCACAACTTTGCAATTGTGAATTGTGCTGCTATAAACATTTGAGTGCTGGTGTCCTTTTTGTAGAGTGTCATTTGATCTTTGGGTAGATGCCCAGTAGTGGAATTGCTGGATCAAATGGTAGATCTACTTGTATTGCTTCAAGGTATCTCCATATTGCTTTCCACAGAGGTTGAACTAGTTTGCAGTACCACCAGGTGCACTCTTATGTATAAAGTGATATTAAAGGGTCCAGCTTATTTTTCTCCCATCTCATGAGCCAGTTTTTCCAGCAATATCTAGGAAACAGGCTGGGCGTGGTGGCTCACGCCTATAATCCTAGCACTCTGGGAGACCAAGGGGGGCGGATTGCTCGAGGTCAGGAGTTCGAAACCAGCCTGAGCAAGAGCGAGACCCTGTCTCTACTATAAATAGAAAGAAATTAATTGACCAACTAATGTATACAGAAAAAATTAGCCTCTGTGGGATACCAAGTAGGGTGGGGGAAAAAAGAAAGAAAAGAAATAAAGATATAAAAAAAGAAAAAAAAATAAAATAAAAAAATAAAAATAAAAAAAACCCAAAAAAACAAACAAAAAAATTAGCCGGGCATGGTGGCGCATGCCTGTAGTCCCAGCCTCTCGGGAGGCTGAGGCAGGAGGATTGCTTGACCCCAGGAGTTTAAGGTTGCTGTGAGCTAGGCTGACACCATGGCACTCACTCTAGCCTGGGCAACAAAGTAAGACTCTGTATCAGAAAGAAAAGAAAAATCTGGGAAACAATCCATTCTTTCCATATTGCCTTGTGGTTCTAGCTTTATCATATTATCAGCTTCCCTTAAATACATGTGCAGTTGGCCTTCTGTATCTGAGGGTTCTGCATCCAAGTATTGTATCAAGGATATTCAAAAAATAAATAATAACAATAGAACAATAAAAATGATACAAATTTGCAAAAACAATAAATTGTAATAATTGTTTACATAGCATTTACCTTGTATTAGGCATAAGTAATCTAGAGATGATTTAAAGTGTGTGGGAAGCTGTGCATAGGTTATATGCCAGTGCCGTGTCATTTTATATCAGAGACTTCAGCATCTGTGGGTTTTGGTATCCACAGGAGTCCTGGAACCAATCCCTAGCAGATTATTAGGGATGACTATATTTATTCCAAACTTTCTATTCTGTTCCCTTAGTGTGAGTCTGGCCCAGGAACAGTTTTTATTAATATGGCTTTGTAATATTATGTCTTAATACATGGAAGGCACACCGCCCATCACCTGCTTTGCTCTTTTCTAAAATTGGCTTAGCTATTTGTGAAATTTTATTCTTTCATGGACATTTTAGAAAGAGTATGGAAAGTTCCTTTTAAAAAAAAATCCATCTAAGATTCTGATTTGGATTGCAGTGAATTTATAGATCTAACTTGGAAAGGATTGACATTCTTATAATGATAGTATGTACATTTCTCTCAATTTTTGTGTCTTTTACTAGATTTGGGAAATTTTCCTTCTTTCTTTCTTTTTTTTTTTTTGGAGACAGAGTCTCACTCTATTGTCCGGGCTAGAGTGCCGTGGCATCAGCCTAGCTCACAGCAACCTCAAACTCCTTGGCTCAAGCAATCCTCCTGCCTCAGCCTCCCTAGTAACTGGGACTACAGGCATGTGCCACCATGCCTAGCTACTATATATATATGTTTTAGTTGTCCAGGTAATTTCTTTCTATTTTTTTAGTAGAGATAGGGTTTCACTCTTGCTCAGGCTGGTCTTGAACTCCTCAGCTCAGACGATCCCCTCGCCTCGTCCTCTCAAAATGCTAGGATTACAGGCCTACACCATGCCAGGATTACACCATGCCTGGCCAGGAAATTTTCTTTTTAAAGATCTCTAGTGTTGGCTGGGGTGGTGGCTCACACCTGTAATCCTAGCACTCTGGGAGGCCAAGGCAGGTAGATTGTTTGAGCTTAGGAGTTTGAGACCAGCCTGAGCAAGAGCAAGACCCTGTCTCTACTAAAAATAGAAAGAAATTAATTGGACAGCTAAAAATATATAGAAAAAATTAGCCAGGCATGGTGGCACATGCCTGTAGTCCCAGCTACTTTGGAGGCTGAGGCAGAAGGATTGCTTGAACCCACGAGTTTGAGGTTGCTGTGAGCCAGGCTAACATCATGGCACTCTACCCTGGGCCACAAAGTGAGACTCTGTCTCAAAAAAAAAATCTCAAGTGTTCATTTGTTAATTAATTTCTACTATGTTATAGTTTTTGTTATTGTGAATGTTGCCTGTTTTGTTTATTCCTGGTGTAGAGGAACACTTTGGTCTGTGTAAATTGTCCTTATATCCAGCATTCTTGCTGAATTCACTTATTAATTATAATAGTTTATTGATTCCATTGCATTTTTTATATATGATTAGTATCATATACAAATATTGACAGTTTTTTATCTCCTCCTGCCAATTCTTATACCTTATACCTTCTTCGTCACATGTTGACCAAGTGTCTTTTCTGGCCCGCCAGTCTAGCCCTCTGGAAGTTTCTAGAGTAAGCAACTGCAGTAGAAGTGGGCTTCTTGGACTACCAGGTCTCATTCCTAAGGGGTGGCACCTGAAAGTCCTCCATTAAGTATGATGGTTGTTTGGTTCAGTTCTGAGTATGCCTTTATTAAATTAAGACAATTTCCTTCTATTCCATTTCTTTGTAGGAGCCTTTAATCATAAATAAGTGTTGAATTTTATCAATTGCTATTCTTTATCTGTGATATAATCTCACAGTTTTTCTCTTTTATCCTATTACCACATTGATAGATTTTCTTTGAATTTCTGAGCAGTATCCTTGATCATTTTATTTTTTAGTATATTGTTGGATTAGACTAGTTATTTATTTATTTATTTTTTGAAACAGAGTCTCACTTTGTTGCCCAGGCTAGAGTGAGTGCTGTGGTGTCAGCCTAGCTTATAGCAACCTCCATCTCCTGGACTCAAGCAATCCTACTGCCTCAGCCTCCCGAGTAGCTGGGACTACAGGCACGTGCTACCATGACCAGCTAATTTTTTCTCTATATATTAGTTGGCCAATTAATTTCTTTCTATTTTTAGTAGAGATGGGGGTCTCACTCTTGCTTAGGCTAGTTTTGAACTCCTGACCTCGAGCAATCTGCCCACCTCGGCCTCCGAGAGTGCTAGGATTACAGGTGGGAGCCACCGCGCCTGGCCTAGACTAGTTATTTTTTAATGTAGGATTTTTCATCTTTATTCTTTGATTATTGCTTTGTGCCTATGTGTACCCATTGTTCAGCACCTACTTACTAGGGAGAACATATGGTGTTTGGTTTCCCATTCCTGAGATATTTAACTTAGGATAATGGTCTCTGGTTCCCTCCAAGTTGCTGTAAACGATATTATTTCATTCCTTTTATGGCTGAGTAGTATTCCATGGTATATATGTACCACATTGTCTTTATCCACTCATGAATTTAATCCTTGAACATTCAGTGCCTGCCCTGAGGCTTTAGGGTTGCTTGGGAAGGTCTTTAGTTAACATTTCGACTTCCTTAATGGTTATTGAACTATTAAACTATATCATTCATATTTTAAAATAGAGAGTTTTTTTTTAACTTTCTAAACAACAACATGTAATTCAATTTTGTATGTGTATTTTAAATAAGTGATCATGTATATATAAATAATGTCAAGTAGCTGTTGTAGTCAAAGAATCATTTTCAGGTGTATATTTGACTGGAGTCTTAAGTCCAGATATTGTGGCACAATTGACCCAGTATTTTTGTTTGTTCGTTAACTATTACAACTAAAACTTACTACATTTATTTCCAGCAGATGAACCAGATGACCGAAGCTGGCTAGAACAGCATGTAGTTCATCAGTACTGGACGACTAGGCCCTCACGGTTTCCTCATAGTTTACATTTACACTCCAATTTAGCTGCTGTCTGGTAAGAAGCTACATTTTTGTTTTAATGTAATGATAGCAGAAACTTTGATGTTTAAACATTTGGCTTTGATTTGTGATTTAAATCAAGTACTTCCCTGAAGTTTAAACTTGATAGTTGTTTTTAACAATTCTAATTGAACAATTTTTAATTATTTAATTATTAGTGAAATAATGAAATTATAGTATTTAATTTTAATCTGTGTTTTGACTTTTTTTGTTGTTAATTTCAGTGTGAATGTACTGGTCATATTAGGCCATTATTTGATTTCTGTTTTAGTATACTTATTACAAAAATGCACTTACTGTTTTCAAAAAAACAACAGTGCATAGTTTTAAACATTTGCCTAAATCAGCAGTTAACATAACAATTACAATTGCTCTGAAAGTGCTTCTCAGAGTATTTCAATTGACTTATGAAAATAAATATGAAAGGCATATAGGTGTTTATTATGTTTATTTGGTAATTGATCATTACTTAAGTTAGCACTGAATTGCATATATCCTTTGGGACAAGTTCTTTTACTTAGTTAGAAACCATTCTATTGACATTTGATGTTTGCTGTCTAACAGGGACCAACACTTGTATAGCAGCGATCCATTGTATGTTCCAGATGACAGAGTTTTTGTTACTGAGACACAGGTTATTCGGGAAACCCTATGGTAAGATCTGTTAACCTAATTAATAGTCTGGAAGGCTTTAAAGGAAAGTGTTCTGGTGTTTTTCACAGGCAGACTAGAAATAGGCCATTAGGTATGAAGTTTAGTCTTCAAATTTGACTGTGAAGATTGTGAGATTTTGATATATTCACTTTTTTTCCAGGTTAAAAAATTTAATATATGACTAAATTAGATTAGTCCATCATTTCTTTAATATCTGAGTTCAAAGCAAAGTTTGCTGCTGACTGTTTTTAATAGGCAGAGTGTATCAATGAAAGCTTGTGCCCATACCTGGAAGCCAGGAATCTAATGCGGTATGTGGTGCTGTCACTACAGAAATTCCAAGTCCTGGTGCTCTCACCATAAAGTATGATATTGACATTCTTAGAAATGGGAGGATCTTTTTGTGTCATGAAGCATGTGAGGGAGATGCTTTGGCAACACTGTTTCGCACTTCTCTCTAAGATGACATTGAAATGTCTTGAGTCTTAAGGTAATCAGATAAAAAGATTGATGTCTTCCATTTTTTTATTATCTAATAATTTCTAATTATTGTATTTTTACCTCCCAATTCTGAATTTTTAATAAAAATTTTCTGGACATACTGTAGTGAACATTTTTCTAGACTAGTACATTCATCCTTTTAAAATTTCATTTCAGGTTACTTTCAGGAGTGAAAAAGCTCTTTATATTTCAATTGATAGATGGGAAGGTAACAGTGAGAAACAATATCATAGTAACTCATTTGACACACGTAAGTTATTTGTATTTATTGTAATTCAAGAATTAAATGATGGGCCGGGCGCAGTGGCTCACGCCTGTAATCCTAGCACTCTGGGAGGCCGAGGCGGGCGGATTGCTCAAGGTCAGGAGTTCGAAACCAGCCTGAGCAAGAGTGAGACCCTGTCTCTGCCATAAATAGAAATAAATTAATTGGCCAACTAATATATCTAGAAAAAATTAGCCGGGCATGGTGGCGCATGCCCGTAGTCCCAGCTACTCAAGAGGCTGAGGCAGTAAGATTGCTTGAGTCCAGGAGTTTGAGGTTGCTGTGAGCTAGGCTGATGCCATGGCACTCACTCTAGCTTGGGCAACAAAGCAAGACTCTGTCTCAAAAAAAAAAAAAAAAAAAAAAAAAGGATTAAATGATAGTATTTATGTGAACTGTGGTAATATAATTTTAGGATATTTTATAGTATTAAAATTAATTATTAAACACATTTAAGATTTAAAAAGAAAATTAAGTTGTTCACAGAATTCTTTAATATTGTTTGTGGCATATTTGATTTTGATTTGCATTTTCTGCTTTTTCTTTCTGTCATTCTATATTGGGAAAGCTGTAATATCTATAAGTTTTTTGCCTACAGTACATTTACCTTATATGTGTTTTTAAAAAATATAAGCCACAATTCTATATTCTATTGAAATTAATGTTCTCTTTTTTTCTTTGAATATAAAACTAAATATTCCTTATTACCTTGTCTTCTACTAAACATAATGTTTAAAATAATCACAAAATAAATATTTTACTGTGAGTGGGAAGTGAATTTGAATGTTTATAGAAGACCAACTTTAAATAATTATAATTTGCTTCTGTCGTAGAACTGTTTACGATCTGTGCTGGAACAAATAGCAGCATATGGCCAGGTTGTGTTTCGACTCCAGGAGTTCATCGATGAAGTTATGGGACACAGCTCCGAAAGCTTGCCGCCTGGAAGTGGTTCTGTTTCTAAGAAGTCGACCGAAGCTCCCTTTAGAACCTACCAGGCTTTCATGTGGGCCCTATACAAATATTTCATTAGTTTCAAAGAAGAACTTACAGAAATTGAGAAGTGCATCATCAATAATGGTATTTAAATGTTCTTCACTTTTACTCATAAGACACACAATTCATTTTTTTGTTTGATGTCCTGTTTAGTTTGAATAGTTCAGATTTTGAATGCCATTTAGGTTATTCATTGATATAACATTTGAAAGTTGCATAACAAATAAGTAATCTCATGAATGTATTCATTTTTAAAGTTTAAAATTTAGATTTTAAGCCATTCATATTTTTAAAAATCAAAACACTACAGAAGGATTTAGAGTGAAAATTCTTCTTTCTGCTCTAGTTCCTGAGCCAGTCATTTCCCCTCCCTAGAAACAACCGGGTCCTCAGTGTCTTGTCCATCCTTTCAGAAGTAGTTTAGTCATATACAAGTGAGGCATATGCACATACACAAACCTACAGTCATTATACTACTCTTTTGATTGTTTTCTAATTTAGATTTTGGGGATTGTACCATACAACAAGAGCCTCCTTCTTCCTTTTTATAAATTGAGTGTTTCACCGTATAGTTGTATCATAGCCCAATCCTCCTTGATGGACATTTAAGTTATTTCCAATCGTTTGCTATTACCAGCAGGGCTGCAACGATAACCACTTAGACATATCCATAATCCTACACATGGAGCAAGTTATCTGTAGGGTAAGTTCTTAAAAATGGAATTGCTGGGTCCACTGATACGTAATAGCATGTGTGATTTTGCTAGGTTTTGCTACATTGCTTTCCAGGGAGGTACAAGAAAATAAATTTATACTCTTGCCAGCAATGTGTATGAATACCTGTTTCCTCACACTCTTGCCAACAGTGTGTTATCAAACTTTTTGGTCTTCACCAATGTGACAGGTATAAAATGGTAACCCAGTATAGTTTTTTTCCGCCTTAACTTTTATTTTCAGTTACCACAAAAAAATAGAAAGGGTCCCATGTTCCCATAACCTTGCTTCCTTCAGTGGAGAATCCTTACGTAATTCTAGTACGTGGTCAAGACTGGGAAGCTGACACTGGCACAGCATATTAGCCAGGCTGCAGACCTGACATGGGTTTCACCAGTGTTGCAGGTACCGTGTTTCCCCGAAAATAAGACAGGGTCTTATATTTATTTTTCCTCAAGAAGATACCCTAAGGCTTATTTTCAGGGTATGTGTTATTTTCCCCTCAAAGCCTCAGCTTGCAGCATGCTCAGGATGGCCAGGATCTGACAGGGGGAGCCAGCCTTTTGGTGGGGCTGCCCACACCTTTCCGGTCACCTCTGGGATAGTAACTGTCATGATGGGGCAGATGAGAAGGGCTGCTTGTTGTCTTTACCACTCTGTGACGAAATGCATGGGTTGTGCAGATACACTGCGTAGCCACGCCCATCACTCTATCTTATTTTCAGGATAGGGCTTATATTGTGCAAATGCTTAGAAATCCTGCTAGGGCTTATTTTATGGGTAGGTCTTGTTTTGAGGGAAACACGGTACTTGATTTAAGTGGGTGGCAGGGGGAGGAGTGATATCTTTGTGCATAGTTCTGTGCCATTTTATCACATGTATAGATCTGCATAACCACTTCCACATTCAGGACACTGAGCTGTGCCATCACCCCATAGAAACTTGCTTATGTAACCCTTTGTTATCACCACAGCCTCCCATTGTGGGTGTTTTTGTTTTACCTGGTATCATTTTAATTTTCAGTCTTTTATTATAAGTGAGGTTGAATGACTCTCTATATGTCTAAGAATCAGTTGTCTCTCCTTTTCTGTGAACTGTCAGTTCCTTTATAGATTATTTTTCTGCTGAGTTTTCTTTTTCTCCCTAACTTGCAATTCTTTCTCCCTTAGGGGAATTAGTTCCTTGTGATGTGAGATTAAAACCCACCATCTTCCATTTTGTCATGCCTCTCCATAAGCCTAATAAGTAGCTTAGCATTTATGTCACGTGTTGTATGCTGATACTTTTCCTTGCTGTTGACTTTCATTTATTGATATTTGCAGATACTACAATAACTCTTGCAATAGTGGTGGATAAGTTGTCATCTCGGTTGGCTCAGCTCAAGGTTCTGCACAAAGTGTTTAGTACTGGAGTAGCAGAAGTTCCACCTGACACTCGGAATGTTGTCCGAGCATCTCACCTGCTCAACACCCTGTACAAGGCCATTCTTGAATACGACAGTGTTGGAGAAGCCTCTGAGCAAACCGTATGTGGGACCTCTGCCTAGTCTAAAGTGTGTCACTCTATCCCGCACAGCAAGGGAGTGGTGGATGGCCCTCACAGTTGTTTATTAAATGATGCTTACATAGTGGTTTGTCAGGCAGTTGTTCGGAGTTTTAAAATTAGGTTCCAATTTCAAGACTACAGGAAACTGACTTTTCAGCTCTAATTGCCAAAATCAACAGAAGGATGAGGCAAGAACAAAGAAGCAAGCTGTGATAAATACCTAGCTGATTTATATAGACATTTGCAATAACCCTTTTTCATATGAGAACACAAATCTGTTATATGAGATCCCTAAAGTAGCCACATTCATAGAAACAGAAAGTGGAATGGTGATTACCAGGGCCAGGGAATGGGGAGTTGTTTATTAGGTACAGAGTTTCAGTTTTACAACATGAAAAAGTTCTAGAAATCTGTGACAACAGTGTGAATGTACTTAAAACCACTGAACTTAAAAATGGTTGAGATGGTAAATCTTATGTTATATTTTTTTACCACAATTTTTAAAAAATACAAATCTAGAGGCTATAATCTAGAAAGCTGCAGGCTTGTTTGAGTGCATATTTTCGGGTACTTTTTAGTTTGCTGGTGTAACTTTACCTTGCCATTTGGTATGGGAGTTCAATAGAAAGGAGGTTGATTTCTCTCAGTGCTGCCATTTTTGTCCTTTTTTGAGAACTGCAGGAGAGTGAAGTAATCTCAATCATAGTAGATACTGTGCTGGTAGTTCTATTTAGATCAGGAAACCATATCTGTTTGCCTGGGCCATCCCAGATTAGCCTGCTTCCCTGTATAATTCTCACTCTCAAGAGGGTCCCTGTATGGACTAAAACAATATGGTTATCCCATATTTAGGTGAGCTTTTCATAAGGATTTTATAGTGTACTTTTTTGGATTTTTAATTTCTTTGTGTCCAAAAAACACAGAAATCTGATTACTCTTTAAAAGGCATTTCAGAACTGTTTGAACCTCATTTTACCTAGTGATCAGGTTGCTCTGAGAGTTAACTTGTGTACACTCTCTACCTTAGGTCTCCCTCCTGTTCTCTCTCTGGGTGGAGACAGTACGGCCCTACCTGCAGACGGTGGACGAGTGGATTGTGCACGGGCACCTGTGGGACGGCGCCAAGGAGTTCATCATCCAGAGGTGAGGTAGAGGTTGCAGCTGGGAACGCAGGGCACACAGAGTGCTGGTTTCAGTAATTTGCTCCCACATGAAAATCAAATGCTTTTGTTAGTTTCAGATAGAGAAAGCATAGTTGAGAAAGCTCAGTTCAAATGACAGAGCTGTGTTGTCACCATATGAAAGTTCTGTATCATTTTTGTAGATGTTAGTACCAGCCAATTAAAAATATCTTTGTCCGAGTTTTATGTTAGTTCCTAGCTTTTCTTCAGCAAATTATATTTTTGGATGACTTATGGCTGACTGGTATGCTAAAATGCACACTGCTTCACATAAAATGAATTTAGGTGATATCAGATGGTTTCAGTTATTCCCACTGCGAATTATCAATACATTAAAAGCTATGAAAATGTCAAATGTATGCCTCTAATATAGTTATTTCTCAGAATATTTTTACCATTAGTATGATATTTAATAAAACAATTAAGGAAAATTGTCAATCCATTTATCATGATTTCCCTTCAGTTAATTGATTTTTCTGAATAGACTCATATAAACTGCAATGTGTGACTTCTTGTACTCTTTTAACTCAGTTTTAAGTTATGCAATCTATTTAAATGTATGGTTTCTATTGATAGCTATCCCTTGAACTCATCAGGAAGGACAACTTTAAGTCCTTAGTGTTCTGGAAGGGTAACACTATTTTACACAGGGCTCACGTATAAATGAATTGGCCTTCCTTCAGCTAAGTCTCATGTCTGTCACTATGTCATGTTTTATCAATCTCACATGAGAATTTTTGTGAAAATGGGATTCTGACTATTCTTCTGAGGTGACCATAATTTCATTGTTAGAAGCAGTCCAATGAAGAATCTTTCTAGAGAAAAAAAGGTAAAGAAGTCTGCAATTATTTTCACAGTAGATGGTACATGGGTATATTTCATTCTACTTTTAAAGAGGATCAGGTTAGTCTTATTTTATTTAATTCCAATTTAGGAAACTGTACTTTAAATTTTACCTATATTACTCAGAGTATTTATCTGCTTTTCTTTTTTTCTTTTTGTAAATTGAGACAGAGTGTCACTTTGTTGCCTGGGCTAGAGTGCCATGGCATCAGCCTACCTCACAACAACCTCAAACTCCTGGGCTCCAGTAATCCTTCTGCCTCAGCCTCCCGGGTAGCTGGGACCACAGGCATGCACCACAATGGCTGGCTAATTTTTTCTATATATTTTTAGTTGGCCAATTAATTTCTTTCTATTTTTGTAGAGACGGGGTCTTGCTCTTGCTCAGGCTGGTTTCGAACTCCTGACCTTGAGCGATCCTCCCGCCTCGGCCTCGCAGAGTGCTAGGATTACAGGCATGGGCGACGGAGTACTTATCTGCTTTTCTATGCTAAACTGAGTCCAGATGCCCCATTTTGCCTGAAGATTACATTCATTTTGGAATGTCTGAATAACATACCTTAGCTAGAATAGGAATAGTGATGTTTTTTAGGAAGAGATGTTAAAGTTTAAAATTCTTTTGACTCTCTTTAGAAACAAAAATGTTCCGGTAAATCACAGAGACTTCTGGTATGCAACTTACACATTATATAGCGTATCGGAAAAGACAGAAAATGAAGAAAAAATGAGTGATAACGCTAGTGCAAGTTCTGGCAGTGACCAGGGGCCCTCCAGCAGACAGCACACCATGGTGTCCTTCCTCAAACCTGTCCTAAAGCAGATCATAATGGCTGGCAAGTCAATGCAACTGCTGAAGAACCTGCAGTGTGCAGAGAGCACCACGTGCCAGGCAGCGGCCAGAGGTAGCCTGTTCTTTTTTCATGTGTCTCCCTCAGTGTCAGGACCACTGCTCCCTGTTCCCTCTTGTCATCCTGAGATAGCTATTATTTTGTAGTTTGAAAGTCATTAAAGCCTCTTATTTTAGTGGAAATTATTGCCATGATTGAATTAATAATCATGCTGTTCTTGATTGAACAAAAGGTTTTCATCATTGGAAACTTTTAGCATCGTTTGAAAAGGCAGTGACAGTAAATTCCACATGTATTTTCCTTTTGATTCCTTAGGACTGGTGCTTTAAAAAATAATTTTCTGGCATTTTTCTTTTACTTTATTATTATTTAATTGACACATATCAATTGTACATATTTATGGGGTACATAGTGATGCTGCAATTCATGTAATGAACGTATACTAATCATATCACAGTAATTAGCATATTCATCATCTCAGACATTTATCATCTATTTTTGTTGGAAACATTCAATATCCTCCTTCTAGCTATTCAAAACTATAAAATATATTATTGTTAACAATAGTCATCCTATAATAGGATAGAACACTCGAACTTATTCCTTCTATCTAGCTGTAATTTTATATCCTTTAACAAATCTCCCCTATCCCTCCTTTTTCCCTGCACTTCCCAGCCCCTAGTATCCTCTGTTTTACTTTAACCTCTATAAGATCAACATTTTCTAGCTTCCACACACGAGTGGGAATATGTGGTTAACTTCTGTTTCTGGCTTATTTCACTTAACATAATGTCCTCAATTCCATCAGTGTGGTCACAAAAGGCAAGATTTCATTCATTTTTATGTCTGAATAAAATGTCTCTTGTGTATATGTACCATATTTATTCCATATCTTGGCTATTGTGATTAGTGCTATAACAAACATAGAGGTGCAGATGTCAACTTACTGATTTCCTTTCCTTTGGATAAATGTCCAGTAGTGGTATTGCTGGATCACATGATAGTTCTATTTGTGGGTTTTTGAGGGACCTCCATACTGTTCTCCATAGTGTCTGTACTAGTTTACATTCCCACCAACAGTGTATAAGAGTTCCCTTTTCTCAACATCTTCACCAGCATTAGTTATTTTTTGTCTTTTTGATAATAGCCATCTTAATTAGGGAGAGATGATACCTCATTGTGGTTTTGATTTGCATTTCCCCAATGATTAGTGATGCTGGACATTTTTTCATATATTTGTTGGTCATGTGTGTGACTTCTTTGGAGAAAACTGTTCAGATCATTTGCCTGTTTTTAAATCAGATTTTTGTTGTTGTTACTGAGAAGTTTAAATTTCTTATATATTTTGGATATTAATTCACTGTTGGATTAATAGTTTGCAAATAATCTCTCACATTCTGTTGATTGTGTTTTCACTCTATTGATTGTTTCCTTTGCTGTTCAGAAGCTTTTTAGTTTGGTTTAGTCCCATTTGTTTATTTTTTTGTTGTTGTTGCCTGTGCTTTTGAAGTCTTATTCCTAATCTATTTCTCAGACCAATGTCCTGAAGTATTTCCTCTGTTTTCTTCTAGTTGTTTTATAGTTTGGGGTCTTACATTTAGGTCTTTGATCCATTTTGAGTTGGTTTTTCTATCGCGTGAAAGGTACAGATGTAGTTTATTTCTCTCCTATGGATATTCAGTTTTCTCAGCACCATTTATTGAAGAGTCTGTCCTTTTTCCAGTGAGTGTTCCTGGGACCTTCATCAAAAATCAGTTGGCTGTGGATATATGGATTAATTTCTGGCTCTCTATTCTGTTCCATTAGTCTATGTGTCTGTTTTTATGCCAGTACCATCCAGTTTTGGTAACTATAGCTTTGTAGTATGTTTTGAAGTCTGTTGGTATAATGCCTCCAGTTTTGTTCTTTCTGCCCAGATTCCTTTGGCTATTCAGGGTCTTTTGTGGTTCCATACAAATTTGAGGATTTTTTTTTTCTATTTCTGTGAAGAATGACATTGGTATTTTAATAGGGATTGCATTGAATTTGTAGATTGCTTTGGATAGAATGGTCATTTTACAATATTAATTCTTCTGATCCATGGGATGTCTTTCCATTTGTATCTTCTTCATTTACTTTTTTTTTTTTTTTTTCCTGAGACAGAGTCTCACTCTGTTGCTGGGCTAGAATGCCATGGCATCAGCCTAGCTCACAGCAACCTCAAACTCCTGGGCTCAAGCGATCCTTCTGCCTCCGCCTCCCAAGTAGCTGGGACTACAGGCATGTGCTACCATGCCCGGCTAATTTTTTCTATATGTTTTTAGTTGGCCAATTCATTTCTTTCTATTTTTAGTAGAGATGGGAGGGTCTCGCTCTTGCTCAGCTGGTTTTGAACTCCTGACCTCGAGCAATCTGCCCTCCTCGGCCTCCCAACGTGCTGGGATTACAGGCATGAGCCATGACGCCTGGCCCTTCTTCATTTACTTTAATCAGTATCTTGTAGTCTTCCTTGTAGAGGTCTTTCCCTTCCTTGGTTAAATTTATTTGTAGTTTTTTTTCCCCAGGTATTATAAATAGGATTGTTTTCTTGATTTCTTTTTCACTAGCTCGTTGTGCATGTATAGAAACACTACTGACTTCTATATGTTGATTTTGTATCTTACAACTTTATTGGATTCATTTATCAGTTCTAAACATTTTTTGGTAGAGTCTTTAGGTTTTTCTATATATAAGACCACGTAGTCTGCGAACAGGGATAATTTGACCTCCTCCTCTCCAGTTTGTATGTCCTTTATATTAATATTTTTCTTTTGCCTAATTACTCTGGCTGGGACATCTAGTACTATGTTGAATAAGAGTGGTCAGAGTGACATTCTTATCTTGTCCCAGTTTTTAAAGGAAAAGCTTTCAGGTTTTCTCAGCTCAATATTATGTTAGCTGTGGATTTATCATATGTGGCCTTTATGATGTTGATGTACTTTCCTTTTATATCTAACTTATTGAGAGTTTTTATCATGAAGAGATGTTGAATTTTTTGAATGCTTTTTCTCTCTGTATGTTGAATTATATGGTTTTTGTCCTTCATTCTATTAGTATTATGTTTAACATTTATTGATTTGGATATGTTGGACCATTCTTGCATTCCTGGGATAAATCCCACTTGATCATGGTGTATTATCTTCTTGATGCCTTGTTAGATTTGATTTGCTAGTATTTTGTTGAGGATTTTTGTATCCAGGTTTATCAAGGATATTGGCTTGTAGTTTTTGTTTGTTTGTTTGGCGGTTTTTGTGGGGGTTACCTTGTCCAGTTATGGTATAGGGTTATACTGGCCTTGAAGAATGACTTTGGAAGAATTTTTTTCCTCTGCTTTAATTTTTTGGGGATAGTTTGAGAAGAATTGGTATTAATTCTTTAAAGGTTTGGTAGAATTCAGTGTGAAGCACTGAAGCAGTGAAGCCATCCAGTCCTGGCTTCTATTTGTTGATATACTTTGTATTACTGATTCAATCTCCTTACTTTTCTTGATCTTCTCAGGTTTTCTGTTCTTCCTTGGTTTGATTTTGGTAGGTTGTATATGTCCAGAAATGTATCCATTTTCTTTAGGTTTTCAAATTTATTGGTGTACAGTTGTTCATAGTAGTCTCTAATGATCCTTTAGTATTTCTGTGATAGCCATTACGATATCTCCTTTTTGTTTCTAATTTTATTTACTTGGGTTTTCTCTCTTTTATTCTTAGTCCGGTTAAAGGGTTATCAAGTTTGTTTATCTTTTCAGAAAACCAACTTTTTCTTTTATAAATTTTTTTAGTATGAATTTTTTTTATTTCTACTCTGATCTTTATTCTAATTTTGGGTTTGGTTTGTTCTTACTTTTCTATATGTGTTAGGTTGTTTTTTTTTTTTTTTCACTGCAAAAACGTCCCTTTATAGGTTGTTTATTTTTAATTTGTAGTTTTTGATGTAGGCATTTATTATTTTAAACTTGCCTCTTAATACTGCTTTTGCTGTGTCCCATAGGTTTTTTTTGTTTTGTTTTGTTTTGTTTTGAGACAGAGTCTCACTCTGTTATCTGGGCTAGAATGCCTTGGTGTCAACCTAGCTCACAGTAACCTCGTACTCCTAGGCTCAAGCGATCCTCCTGCCTCAGCCTCCCAAGTAGCTGGGACTACAGACACACGCCACCATGCCTGGCTAAATTTTTCTATATATTTTTAGTTGGCCAATTAATATCTTTCTATTTTTAATAGAGATGGGGTCTCACTCTTGCTCAGGCTGGTCTCGAACTCCTGACCTTGAGTGATCCACCCGCCTTGGCCTCCAGAGGGCTAGGATTACAGGCATGAGCCACCACACCCGGCCTCCCATAGGTTTTTATGTGTTGTGTTTGTATTTTTATTTGTTTCAAGGAATTATTTTATTTTTTTATTTTATTTTATTTTATGTCTGACAGCCTTGTCTCACCTTGTTGCCCAGGCTGGTCTCAAACTCCTGGCATAAAGCAATCTTCCCACCTCAGGCTCCCAAATAACTGGGATTATTGAGCCACTGAGCTCAAATTATATAATTTCATTATTTTTTTTCCTTCACCCATTGGTCATTCAGGAACTTGTTGTTTAATTTCCATGTATTTATATAGTTTCAAATGTTCTTCTTGTTTTTTATGTCTAGTTTTATTCCATTGTGGTTAGATAAGATACTTTATGTATCAGTTTTTAAAAATATTTTTGAACTTCATTTGTGTCCTGATATATAGTCAGTCCTGGAAGATGTTCCATGTGCTGATGAAAAGAATATGTATTCTGTAGCTGTTATGTCAAATGTGTCTGTGAGTATCTGTTAGGTCCGTTTGGTCTGTGGTACAGTTTAAATTCGATGTTCTTTGTTGATTTTCGGTCTAGATGATCTGCCTATGGCTGAGAGGGGTTGTTGAATTCCTCAACTATAATTGTATTGAAGTCCATCTCTCCTTTTAGATCTAATAATATTTGCTTTTTATGTCTTGCTGCTCCAGTGTTGGGTGCATATATACTTACAGTTATATTCTTTTTCTGAATTGATTCTTTTATTATGTAATGTCTTTCTTTGTCTCTCTTTATAGCTTTTGACTTGAAGTTTGTTTTGTTTGCTGTAAGTTTAGCTACTCCTGCCTACTTTTGGTTTCTGTTTGCATGGAATGTCTTTTTCTATCCCTTCATTTTCACTCTGTGTGCGATTTTACAGGTGAGGAGTTCCTTTTTTAATTATTATTATTATTTTGAGACAGAGTCTCACTCTGTTGCCTGGGCTAGAGTGCAGTGACATCATCATATAGCTCACTGCAACCTCAAACTCCTGGACTCAGGCAATCCTCCTGCCTCACCCTCCCAAGTAGACAGGACTACAGGCACACACTACCATGCCCAGCTAATTTTTTTCTAATTTTTTTAGTAGAGATGGGGTCTCACTCTTGTTCAGGCTGGTCTTGAAGTGTTTAGCTCTTGAAAACCATGAACCCTGGCAGGTAGGAATTTGTTGATGAGCATTTCAGGCTTGATCATAGATGTAGAGAAAATCATATGATTTCTGGTCTTTTTTTTTTTTTTTTTTTTTTTTTTTTGAGACAGAGTCTCGCTTTGTTGCCCAGGCTAGAGTGAGTGCCGTGGCGTCAGCCTAGCTCACAGCAACCTCAAACTCCTGGGCTCGGGTGATCCTTCTGCCTCAGCCTCCCGGGTAGCTGGGACTACAGGCATGCGCCACCATGCCCGGCTAATTTTTTATATATATATCAGTTGGCCAATTAATTTCTTTCTATTTATAGTAGAGACGGGGTCTCGCTCTTGCTCAGGCTGGTTTCGAACTCCTGACCTCGAGCAATCCGCCCGCCTCGGCCTCCCAAGAGCTAGGATTACAGGCGTGAGCCACAGCGCCCGGCCGATTTCTGGTCTTTTTTGATTTGACTTGTAAATCATCTCAGTGTTGTATTAATTATTTTTATATTACTGTTTCTACTTGAAATAATACTTTCGCTTTGTAGACTATTTCATTTTCATCTGAATGGTAAATGTAATGAGCTTTCTAGGCCACTGTCGGAGTGTTTTTTCCAATGAAATTGTGACTCCTCTTAGTGTTATCAGTTATGCAGTATACATGCATAGTTTGCTATACTATAAAGGTAAAAGTAAAGAAACAGGGTGGAACTTCATAGGCCACAGGAAAAATACCACACTGTATTAGGATGAAATTACTTACTATTTCTTAAGGTTACTTAATATTGTTTGCCAGAACATAGTTTACGTATTTCTTTACGTTTCAGATGCAGAAAGAAAAAGCTTATACACCCTCTTTCTGGAATCTGTACAGTCCCGGCTTCGACATGGAGAAGATTCCACTCCACAGGTTCTTACTGAGCAACAGGCAACCAAAGAGAACCTAATCAAGATGCAGTCCATTGCTGAAAGGCATCTTGAACTGGATGATATTCATGATCCCCTGCTTGCCATTAACTTTGCAAGGTGATGAGCACCTGCATGATTTTCAGGGGTTGAAATGGCAGAATCTGTGCAGTGTTTATAACTGTTTGTTTCTGTCAGGTAGAGCTTTCCAGCCTTAAACACAAAAGCCCTTGTAGCCTACCTTTCTGATGAACAGAGTACAAAAGGATGTTGTGTTCCCTTATTTCAGATGTATAGTGTGGCCTCCATGTTGTTTGTGGAAGTCCACAGGCTCAGCCTTGCCATCCTGCCTCTGTGCCCTCAGGCCCCTGGGGGTGCTGTCACTCGCCCCAGAGATGCTCCTGAAAGTCTGGGTCACAGGAGAGTATCAGGCACATATTCAGTCGGGATCTCCCTTGGCATAAAACATGTCTTGGGCTTAAGATGCTTTTAGATGCTTAGACTAGTGCAGGCGTCCTCAAACTACAGCCCACGGGCCACATGCGGGTGTTTTTGCCCATTTGTTTTTTTACTTCAAAATAAGATATGTGCAGTGTGCATAGGGATTTGTTCATAGTTTTTTTTTAAACTATAGTCCAGCTCTCCAACAGTCTGAGGGACATTGAACTGGCCCCATTTAAAAAGTTTGAGGACCCCTGGACTAGTGGAATAAGTCGTTAATGCCCACACAGTGCCGACTGTCTGATGGCCAGCATTCGCTGTATGCAGCACTAATAACTAGGATGACCTCCTCCAGTACCTGACCCCGAAGCACCAACGACTCTGAAAGACTGGTTCACTCAAAGGATATTTGAGGGGAAAGATTTTCCTCTTTCTGTAATAGTTGGCAATTTTAGGACTAAAGGTAAAAAATGGGACTCTGGGGTTTTGACTTAAGAGAATTCTGTTAACAGTAGCTCATAAAAAGAAAACTCACATTTTTTTTCTTGAAGGTTGTATTTGGAGCAGAGTGACTTTCACGAGAAGTTTGCTGGTGGAGATGTATGTGTGGATAGATCGTCGGAATCTGTGACTTGCCAGACTTTTGAACTAACACTGAGATCTTGCCTCTATCCTCACATTGATAAGCAGTATCTAGATTGCTGTGGAAATCTCATGCAAACTCTAAAAAAAGATTACAGGTGAAAAGAAGTAATTTAGTTTTTTGGAAGTAGTCAATAGCTGATTGTACATACTTTAAGAACTGTTAAGATTATTTTAAAACCTGTATTTCTCCTAGCACTCTGGGAGGCTGAGGCGGGTGGATCGCTCAAGGTCAGGAGTTCGAAACCAGCCTGAGCAAGAGCAAGACCCCATCTCTACTAAAAATAGAAACAAATTAATTGGCCAACTAAAAATATATAGAAAAAATTAGCCGGGCATGGTGGCGCATGCCTGTAGACCTAGCTAGTTGGGAGGCTGAGGCAGAAGGATTGCTTGAGCCCAGGAGTTTGAGGTTGCTGTGAGCTAGGCTGATGCCATGGCACTCTAGCCCAGCAACAGAGTGAGACTCTGTCTCAGAAAAAAAAAAAAAGATGAAAAAAAACAAACCTGTATTTCAAGTCAGTTTTTATTAGAGTGGAAAATGGATATTCAGTAAATGATTTTTTGAGAGGAATAATTGACCATTAGTATTTTCATAACTGTTGTGAAATTTTGTTTATTTCTGAGAATCTATCTCAAAAGAAATGCAAAAAAAGTTTATCACACAAAAATGCCCATCACAAAGTTTTTTTATTAGAATGAAAAACATGAAATTACTTAGTAATAGATGCTAGTTCTTTAAACTATGGCATATCCATAAATGGAATAAATATGGCATATCTGTATCCATGTATGAATTTTGTAAAGTTCATAAAAATTATTTTCATTAAACAGTAGGATATATAATATGGTAGAACTATATTTTTTTAAATGCATAAAAAATACTAGAAAGAAATACTCTAAATATTAGCTATAGGAATTCATGCGTGGTGGGATTTGGATTAATTTTTTGTTGTTGTTACATTTTTGTGACTGCCCAATTTCCTGTTTCTTTTCTTTCCTTCCTTCTTTCTTTCTTTTTTTTTTTTGAGACAGGGTCTTGCTCTGTTTCCTAGGATAGAGTGCAGTGGTGTCATCATAGCTCATTGCAACCTCAATTCCTGGGCTCAAGTGATCCTCCTGGCTAAGCCTCCTGAGTAGCTGGGACTACTGGCATGCACCACCATGCCCTGTTAATTTTCCCATTTTTTGTAGAGATAGGGGTCTTGCTCTTGCTCAGGCTGTTCTTGAACTCCTGATCTCAAGCGATACGCCTGCCTCAGCCTCCTAAAGTGCTGGAATTATAGGCATGAGCCACTGTGCCTGGCCCAATTTTCTATTTTCTATAATGATATAGAAAGATAACATTTCTTTCTGATTATTTAAAGAAAATGTGCTATTTTTATTATTGAAAAAAGTCTTTAAGAGGTGTTAATATTTCTAATTTTCGTAAATATAGAATATTAACTTGTTTTACTAAAATGTCAGGGTATAACAGCTGGCATTGTTCCAGAATCCTGTCTTATGAATGTCAAAGATCTTCTTGTTGGTTATTTTCTCTCCATTCAGGTTGGTAGAGTACTTGCAGGCCATGAGGAATTTTTTCTTAATGGAAGGTGGAGATACCATGTATGACTTCTACACATCAATTTTTGATAAAATAAGAGAAAAGGAAACTTGGCAGAATGTGTCTTTTCTTAATGTCCAACTCCAAGAAGCAGTAGGACAACGTTATCCTGAAGATAGTTCACGGTAAAATATGGAAGGCACCTTTTTAAAAATTAGTATAAAATAAACCATTACCATGAAGTCTTCTATGAAATACATATATTATTTCATCCTCACACTATCCCTATGTGTCTTAATAATATTCATATTGGAAAATTGAGGTAATGGGTAGTAGCTAAGTGACTCCCAGTAAGTGAGAGAAGACGAGGTGGGACCTTGCATCCTGCACTGTACAGTGGCCTCCCGTGTGGGCTTGGAGCCTGTGCTTCCTCTCTCAGCTCCCATGCATCACTGGCTGCCAAGTTCATCAGTCCTGCCTCTTAGGGACCATTTCCCACCCTCCCAGGGCTAGCTCAGAGCTCTTCTGACTGCCTGTGGCTCTCAGCCTTGCTCCCTCCCACCAGAAGGGACTTCAGCTTCACCAGAGTGACTGCAGAACACCAGCACTGCCCTCCACCACACATGCTCAGGCTTGTCATGGGTGCCTCCTAATAGATGGGCTAAGCTTCGTCTCAGGAAAGAGAGAGCCTTTCACTGTCTGGCTCCATTTTCCCAACCTCGTATCTTACTTACACACACACACACACACACACACACACACACCCCACCCCCCTCCTCTACACTTTGCACTGGCTCCATTTTCCCAACCTCGTATCACTCACTCACTCACACACACACCACACACACACACACACACACACACACCCCTCCCCCCCTCTCCTCTACACTTTGCACTTCAACCTCGTATCTTACACACACACACACACACACACATCCTCTCTCCTCTACACTTTGCACTTTAGGGACTCAGAAACCTTTCTGGGTTCCCCAAGTGTTGTTCTGCCCCCTCTTTCCCCCACCCCCAATGACATACTCTTCTGTTGCCGGGTCGCAGTGGTCTGCATGCTCCATGTCTTCATGTATCTGCACTGGGCTGGGAGTTCCAGAAGGGAGGAAAGATCAGTTCTCTATCACTCTAGTACCTGACAAAGTATTTAGCAGATGCCTCTTGAGCACTGAGTGAATGCAGATGTATCAGACTGTTAAGAGCTAAAAAAAAAATTCTGACTAGTGTCTCTGCCTTGGAACAAATCAGCTAATTCATAATCACACACTGCCCTTTACAGCTCTGGCTTAAGGTTAACCCCTCACTTTGCATCTTCCGTAGTGTGCATCCAGGTATCCTCTCCTAGCACCTCTGTGACTGGGAGAGTTGGCTTATTTCTCAGTAACCACTGATGGGACTGTTGTGAGGATTAACTGAGACAAGGACACTTTCGGTGCCTGGCACACGAACATTTCCATGTACGTGTTAGTTGCTTTCTTTCTCTTGAGAGTCATTCAACCCATCTCAGGAACCCATAGATAAAGCAGTGCCTGACACCTTTGCTGCAGGAGGCCGCATCTCATCCCAGTGGTGCTCGAGAAGGTGCTAAACTCATGAGCGTTGCTCACCTCACATGATATTCTCATCCTCCCCCAACCCCAGTCCTAAGCACGGGCTTCGCTAAGCCTGTTGCCTAAATTTTACCAGAATTAAGCTCCTGGCCTATTACCATTATATTTTCTTCTCCAACTTCCATCTTTTTTTCCCAATTAACTTATTACCATTGTTAAGTAACTCTTTTATAACTAAACTCATTATTTAGAAGTTTTCCCTCTCCCCTTATTTCTAAAACCAATTTTCTGCTCTAGAGTATATGTTAGAAAATATACATTTGTTGGAAATTTGCATTCCTTTTATGAAATAACAGTATCTTTTTTGGAATATTATGTAAATAAATGTTAAAATACTAGTTGTTATTTTAAAGGAACATTTCTATATGACATAGAACTTTCACAAACTAAAACTGAAATTTCTTTTATTTAGTCTATCTATATCTTTTGAAAATGTTGACACAGCTAAGAAGAAACTACCTGTTCATACCTTAGATGGTCTGACCCTGAGCTACAAGGTATATGCTGATATTCTTTGTACAAACATTATTTTCTATTAAAATTGAAACAATCAAGTAATGGTTACTTTTTATTCTAATTTTCTGTTTTTGTTTTCATAGGTCCCATGGCCTGTAGACATTGTTATAAGTTCAGAATGTCAAAAAATTTACAATCAAGTGTTCCTTCTCTTATTACAAATAAAGTGGGCAAAATATAGTCTGGATGTTTTACTATTTGGTGGTAAGATTTGTATTCAGCAGATAAATTGTAATTTAATTTTAGCCCTGAGAAAAAGAGGTTGTTGGTATTTGATTGTTTTTTTCTGTGTATGCAAATGCCAAAATGAAGAGTATTATAGCAACAGTTTTAGAAACATCAAGTATCTGAATCAGATATCAAGAAGTTGTATGTACATTTGATCCAAAGTGCAACAACTTGATTAGGAATGTAGCCAGAATAAATATTCTTCTTGGGTTATGCAAAAATTTCTAGTGACAAGTTAATGGGACTTTTACCTATTTTATGACAGTGATAACAAAAGTGATACAGGGAACTTTTCATGCTTTGCCTTCTAAAGGCATTGCAGTCTGGTCCCTGCTGTGCCTGTGTCAGTGCTTTCTGCAGGGCTGCTGTGCTCCTCAGAGCTCCCACCCCGTGTGATGGTGCAGTTGCTCTTCCCACCCACTTTGTTCTTTCAATCTTTTATAGAGCTGGTTAGTACTGCTGAACAACCACAACTTAAAGAAGGCCTTCTGCATGAACAAGACATAGCTGCTCAGTTTGGACCACAAAAAGAACCAGTAAGACAGCAGATTCATCGGATGTTCCTCTTAAGAGTGAAGCTCATGCATTTTGTGAACAGCTTACACAACTACATCATGACCAGGGTTTGTGTCTACCCTTCCACCTTAGTTCTGTCACTTTATTTATACAGTGGAATCCACAAAATACTTACAGATTGTGCAAATGGAACATACAACAAATTCGATCATAAAATAACATGGCAGGCCGGGCGCTGTGGCTCACGCCTGTAATCCTAGCTCTTGGGAGGCCGAGGCGGGCGGATTGCTCAAGGTCAGGAGTTCAAAACCAGCCTGAGCGAGACCCTGTCTCTACTATAAATAGAAAGAAATTAATTGGCCAACTGATATATATATAAAAAAAATTAGCCGGGCATGGTGGCGCATGCCTGTAGTCCCAGCTACCTGGGAGGCTGAGGCAGAAGGATCACTCGAGCCCAGGAGTTTGAGGTTGCTGTGAGCTAGGCTGACGCCACGGCACTCACTCTAGCCCGGGCAACAAAGTGAGACTCTGTCTCAAAAAAAAAAAAAAAAAAAAATAACATGGCAGTGGGGAAAATGTTTTTTTAAACATACCAGAATTTGTGTACTCAGAGACAATTGTCTCTCCTCTCCAGTGGCCCGTTGGTGCAGCTGCAGCTCCCCTTTCAAAATTGTCTTCAGAACTTGCTGCATAGTCCTTTAAATTTCATCAGTGGTGACAGCTGTCCCTAGAAAATGGCTTCAGTATTTTAATAACAGCCATAATTCTCAGGCTAGTGTGGTGTGAGGGAGGAAGATGCAGCTGATTATATACTTTTTTTTCTTAAAAACAAGAAGTAAGTCACTATAAAGTAAATGAAACTGCTTTTCTTATACGTCTTAAAACCACTTCTAGAGGAAGTTCTGAAAGAGGAATTCAGATATTTGAGCATGAGCAGTATTATCAGAGGACAGTACTCATTTGTGGTTTAAAATTTAGAAACCCCCTCATTCATACCCATTCTGGTGTGTGAGTTCAAAGACCCTTCTCGTTTGGATGAAGTGACCCCTGAGGCCTGTGTGTTAGGCAGGAAGGGTATGGCAGATGTGCTGTTGTGCTCCTCTGACTGTATTACCGGCCTTCACAGGGCTGGTCCTACGGCCTTAGTTGTTAAGAGTAACTGATAGGAGTTTAAGTTTCTTCCTAGTTTTCTGTTTTTTATTTGAAGAACATCTGTGCTTCTTTTAGAGAAAGACCAATATATGAAAAATGGAACTTATAAAAACATATAAGTATATTGTAATTATTTGTATTATAAAAATAATACTTACAGGCCGGGTGTGGTGGCTCACGCCTGTAATCCTAGCACTCTGGGAGGACGAGGCGGGAGGATTGCTCGAGGTCAGGAGTTCGAAACCAGCCTAAGCAAGAGCAAGACCCCGTCTCTACTATAAATAGAAAGAAATTCATTGGCTAACTAATACAGAAAAAATTAGCCAGGCATGGTGGCTCATGCCTGTAGTCCCAGCTACTCAGGAGGCTGAGGCAGTAGGATTGCTTGAGCCCAGAAGTTTGAGGTTGCTGTGAGCTAGGCTGACGCCACAGCACTCACTGTAGCCTGGACAACAAAGTTAGACTCTATCTCAAAAAATAAATTAATTAATTAATAAAATAAAAATAATACTTACATTTATAACACATTTACCTGATAATTTTTTTAAATCAGTGCATCTTCTATACAGTTTGATGTATTTGTCCCTTCCCCTAGAAAATCTGTTAGTCCGAAGTTGGGCATTTATTCCCTGGTAAGTGGGTGTCCTATGGGACTGGCCCACTGTCCTCTTAGGATCAGAACACATCCAGTTGGCCTGCAAAGAATGGTACTTCATGAAACTTTACAGATGTGATTATTGAAGGAAGAACTTGAGAGGTTGGTAAAAAATTTTGTGTGCAGCACAAGAGTCCTCAAAGAAGTCTTCTGACTTAAGCTTTTCATCTTTCTCTTCCAAGATTCTGCACAGTACAGGGCTGGAGTTTCAACATCAAGTCGAGGAAGCCAAGGATTTAGATCAATTGATTAAAATTCACTATAGGTATTTGTCAACCATCCATGATCGATGTCTGCTGAGAGAAAAGGTATGTGAGATTTCTCCTGTAAATGTGGCCAGGGAGGCAGGAGGGAAGCTGGGCGTGTGGGGCTGTCTGCCAGCTTTGGATTTCGTGATTATGAAGCTTCTGTCCTGCAGAATATTTCTTTTTTTTTTTGAGACAGAGTCTCACTCTGTTGCCCGGGCTAGAGTGCCGTGGCATCAGCCTAGCTCACAGCAACCTCAATCTCCTGGGCTCAAGCAGTCCTTCTGCCTCAGCCTCCTGAATAGCTGGGACTACAGGCATGCACCACCATGCCTGACTAGTTTTTTCTATATATTTTTAGTTGGCCAATTAATTTTTTCCTATTTTTAGTAGAGACGGGGGTCTTGCTCTTGCTCAGGCTGGTTTCGAACTCCTGACCTTGAGCAATCCTCCCGCCTTGGCCTCCCAGAATGCTAGGATTACAGGTGTGAGCCACAGTGCCCAGCCCTGCAGAATATTCTTTAAGGAAGAACTAGATCAAATGAGGTTGCAAATGAGCTCCCTGTTACTGGAAATTACATCTAAGAGAAACACGAGAACTCTGTTTTGACAGCTGAGTTGTGTTATACTTGAATTCAGTTGTCTGCAGTTGTGGAGTAATCGTGCATTCAGCTTAGTGTGAATATATGCAATTATATAATATTGCAGCCATTGGAATTACCTGTCCCAGTTTCATTGGTGAATTTAAATGGCCATCCCAGGAAAATGGTAACTTGCTATGTTGGTTTGACTGTACTGCTGATGCCACCCGTATCCTGTGCATAGTAAATACATGGACCCAAACCCAGGTGGGCTTGGTTCAGAGCCTAGCACCCTTCTTTATACATATAGAATGTAGTCTCTGTGCTGATGCACTTTTTCTGTGACTCATTTAAATTAGGTAAAAATGTTGGTGTCAGTGTCCAAACTTAGTTACAGAGTCTGTGTTCTGACTGTAACTTTGTTCTCCAGGTCAGCTTTGTGAAAGAAGCTATCATGAAAGTGTTGAACTTGGCTCTCATGTTTGCAGATGGTTGGCATGCAGGCCTGGGGGCTTGGCGGTAAGTATGTAGCTCAAGAAGCCTCTATGTTGTAACCATTTTTAGCTTCTTTTTTAACTGCCTTCATTCAAGGAGGCTTTTGTTATCCTGGTAATACATCATAACCACTATATTTAAGAAGAATTGAATTTATTCACTAAAACTAGACAGCATCAAGTTTTGTGTAATTCTTAGCTTGGTGAAGTGGTGTCCACCTGTGGTCCCAGGTCCTTGGGAGGCTAAGGCAGAAGGATCACTTGAGGCCAGGAGTTTGAGACCAGCCTGGGCAACATAGCAAGATTCCATGTCAAAAAGAAAAAAATTATACTATTCTTTTATGAGAGGTAAAATAATAAGAAAAATCTAGTCTTTTAATTAGGACAAACAAATATTCTTACACTATATTCATGTTTTATTGTATAAGTTTTGTTAAATTTTTATTATGGAGACCTTCAGTCATCTACAGAAATGGGGAGACCAGCATAGCAAAACCCACGCACCCATCACCCTGCTTCAGCAGTGTCAGTGAGGGCCGGCTGTGCCGTGTCTGCCATCCACCCCCACTCACATTTGCCGAATTATTTTAAAGCAAATTCTGGACGTCATGCTGGATTGTAATCCAAAATTGTATCTTAGATGAGCCTTAAAAGATATTGTATAACTTAGAGTGTTTGTTATTCACATGTGTCATATATTAATAGAAAGGCAAATGCCCTGAAGTCAAGGGACAGTTGAGGACCCAGGAGCTCTTCCTGTCCAGCAAGGCCCATCCTCTACTGTTAACTCAAATGTATAGCTCAATATTTTGTCCCTGTCCTGTTTATAAAATGAATGCAGTGATAATTCTGCTATTACTTTCCTGAATAAAAGTACATGTCTGGTTGACCAGGCTGTTAGTAGTTTGTACTTAGTCCGTATTGGTGAAGAGATGAGAGTTCATTATTGTGCTGGTGTAATTCAAAGTCTTAACCTCTGTCTATACTCTAAATAAACAAACTAAGACAGTAGGTAAAAATAATTGCAAGCATGGAAATAGAAGTCTTACTTGTTTTGTTATTGCTGTCTCAAAGTTGTAAAATAATTTTGCTTTATGTGTCACTGTGGAGTGGAGGAGAAAATAACACTGCACATACGCTTTGCTAAAATTGAACTCTTCCACTTTCTTCTACAAATAAATTGTGAGGAAAAAGCAGGGTGTGAGGGGACTTAAGAAGAATATCAAGCACTACAGTTTATGAAAGTTCATTGATCCTGATTCAGACTTAAAGCAGAAAAGTGGGCTGGGCATGGTGGCTCACACCTATAATCCTAGCACTCTGGCAGGCCAAGGCGGGAGGATCGCTTGAGGTCAAGAGTTTGAGACCAGCCTCAGCAAGAGCAAGTCCCCGTTTCTACTAAAATAGAAAGAAATTAGCTGGACAACTAAAAATAGAAAAAATTAGCCGTGCACGGTGGCACACACCTGTAGTCCCAGCTACTTGGGAGGCTATGGCAAGAAGATTGCTTGAGCCCAGGAGTCTGAGGTTGCTTTGAGTTAGGCTGACGCCATGGCACTCTAGCCCAGGCAACAGAATCCTTTTTGATACTCAAAAAAATAATAAAAAAAAAAAGCAGAAGCACAAAAGTGAAAAATTGTGGAAGCTATGTGAAATTTGCTTGAATACCAATTGATCATTTGATGACATTGAAAAAGCATTATTTTTAAGGAAATGGTATTGTGGCTATGTTTTGAAAGGAATCTTTATATTTAAAGTATACATTTATACTTATGAAATATTTGTAACTGAAATGTTCTGATATCTCAAATTTGTTTCTAAATACTGTGGTGGGATTGAGGGGTGGTAAGCCTGGTACCTGGCATGGGTGCCAGCGAAGGCTTGGTGCTGGGCCGTGGAAGCCTGCTATGAAGTTCTCTCTTGCATGTGTGTGACATTTCCCTTTTTTTAAAAAAGAGGGGGGACTTTTATTAAATAATTTCAAATTTTAGGGCTTTTTGTTTGAGTAGCATTGTTTGTGCGACATATGGATGAGCATTGTCTTGTAAGAGGATTGGCCTGTCTCTGTTGACCAATCTCAGCTGTTAAATCGCAAGCATCTTCATCATTTCATCCAGCTGGTTACATAGACAGTCGCTGTAATTGATTGACAAGGTTTCACAAAGTTGTAGTGGATAATACCGGTGCTGGACCACCAAACAGACATCATTAGCTTTTTTCGATGGATATTTGGTTTTGGACTTGTTTCAGCACTTTATCCAGTCATTGTGCAGAATGCTTGTGATTGTCAAAAAGAATCTGTTTTTAATCACACTTAACAATACGGTATAGAAATGGATTGCCTTTATGTCATGACAGCAAAGAAAGGCAAGCTTCAAGACAGTTTTTTCTTTTGACATTTGTTTAATTTATGTAGTACTCATGTATCCAGCTGCTTTGCCTTATCAATTTGTTTTAAATGGTCTAACATTGTTGGAAGAGTAATATCAAACCTTGTTGTAGGTTGAGATAGATTCACTTCCACTACAGTTCTTAGTTTACCATTATACCCCTTGGTCTCAGGTTGTCCACGTGACTCATTTTTAAGAATAAAATTACCAGAATGGAACTTTTAAAACCATCAACGTACTGTGTGTTCATTAGCCACATCTTTCTAAACTCTTTGTTAATATTTTGAGCTGTGTTGTATTGATGACAGAGCTCATATTTGAAAGTAATACACATTTTTTTACTTATCTATGATTGTACAAAAATTTTTCCCCCAAAAAAATAACTTGGAATATAATCACAAGTCTAAACGTGCGTTTGAAAGAATGAGTATGTACCTTTACAATAAAAATAAAATAAGTGTCAAAGTGAAATGTCTTAGATATCAACTACCAAACTTAGTATTTAAGGTGATCAGACATTTCATACCTAATAACCTGATACTAACCCCTTATGCACTTACTTAAATTGAAATGCACTTTTTTTCCTAGAATGGAATCTATAGAGAAAATGGAGTCTGATTTTAAAAACTGCCATATGTTTCTTGTTACCATTTTAAACAAGGCTGTCTGTAGAGGATCTTTTCCCCATTGTGAGTATATCATGTTAAAATATTGTATATTTTCTTGTAGCTTAGTCTGTGTGTCATTGTTTTGTTACTGATTGCATGAAGAATTAGAATTTCTCACCATTTTCAAAACTGAAAAGTCCCATAGCAGTTGTGCCACACTTTGAATTCTTTTTTCAGAATTACAGTGAGGTGAGTGAGTATCAAATTAAAGCACTAAAATTAAAGATCTTACTTTCTGATATACCGTTTATTATACTAGATTTCTAAAACTAACATTAAAGCAGATGACAGAATAGATTTCTGTCACACTTTACTATCATGTAATTTTTGTAACTATTTCTTTTGAAAACATAGGTTTGGTTTTGATTTTTGTTTTTAGCAATTTTAAAAAACTCCCAAGGCTGCCTCTTATCACAAGGAAATGTGTACCTGATAGTTCAGAACTCAGTGTGTGAAGTAGGCAGAGAGGTCTGGGGGCGGGGGGCATGGGGAGAAGACAGCCATGTAATCTACAGAAATAAAGAGCTAAGTAGTAACTTTTTGCCTGATGATTTTTGGTAAAGTATATAGTTAATCTGTTCCATTTCTGCATATTCAAATTGTAATATAATTATTAAGCATAACTGAACATTTAAAAAATACTGTTAGAATAGTGTTAGTGGAGTCATTAATGCATTTGTCCATTTTTGCATTGGGTGTTAGGCAAGAGATTTCCATTCATGGGTTAGAATGATGTGGCACTTTGTTATGAAATGACTCCTGATGATTCCATAATGACTTATGGGACAGGTGTGATTTATTTGTTCAGTGAAATGCCTAGAGTTTTTTGTTTTCAAAATTAAAATTATTTGAAATAGAATAAATCATACTTTTTCCATTTGTATTTAATAAATGAAAGTAGTCATTTTTATTATATATTTAAAATGATCAGTTTTTATTTAAAATGATCTATTTTTAATGAAAAATAGAACATATGTTTAAATATAATTTGAATTTATTAAAGCCTTATTCAAACATTTAAAAAATATTTAGATCTTTTTTTTAACCTTGTTTTTATTCTTCCCACAGTGGAATCTCTAGCACTATCACTCATGGCTGGCATGGAACAAAGTTAAATATCTCCAGTATAATAAAAATCTCAGACTTCATCTTTATTCATTCTACCATTTGCAGCTGAAAAGTGGAAATCTTTTTATTTTGGTTCATTTTAAAAACTTACCCACAACCTAGGCAAATGGATTGTAGTTATTTTCTCTGAAAATTATTGGGTAATGTATAGGGTTATGTATATAAAATTATGTAAATAATGCAAGTGTATATAGGCTGTTTTCTCTTATATTTCCTGCTGTAAGATATAGATTTATGGTATTGATACATTTAAATGTAAATTATATCATGTTTGAAAATGTAATTATTGGTATTAAAAATAAATTAAAACACTTAAAACTCTTTTGTTCTCCTTTTGCTGCTGTACTTCAGTCACAGAAGTTTTTTATATTGAGTTTTACATGTTGTCTTCCCTAAAAGTTGTCTTAGATTTGCCTGTCCTAGAAGTGTTTGTTTTTTATGTGCCTGGGAAGTTCGAAAATTGAAAGTAGCTTCAGCCAATATCAATGAATGTAAAAAGCCAACCTCACTTAGAACCAACTATTAAAGAGATAAAGAAGACACTAGGTTTCGGTTTTGATTTTTGTCTCACCACCTTCTACCAAAAAATCCCAGGCTGCCTCATTCTATCACACACAGGAAACCGAAGCTGTACTGATAGTTTAGAACTCAGTGTGTGAAGAGGCACGAGATGGTCTGGGGGCGGGGGCATGGGAGAAGACAGCCATGTAATCTACGAAATAAAGAGTTAAGTAGTAATCTTTTGCCTGATGATTTTTGGTAAGTATATAGCATTATCTTCATTTCTGCATATTCAATTTATATATTATTAAGCATAACTGAACATTCTAAAATTACTGTAGAATAGTGTAGTGGAGTCATTAATGCATTTGTCATTTTTGCATTGGGTGTTAGGCAAGAGATTCCATTCATAGGTTAGATGAATGTGGCACTTGTTATGAAAGATCCTGATGATTCCATCAATGGACTTATGGGACAGGTGTGATTATTTCAAGTGAAATGCTGAGTTTTTTGTTCAAAATTAAAATTTATTGAAGCGGGCCCCGGCGGTGGCTCACGCCTGTAACCTAGCACTCTGGGAGGCCGAGCCGGATTGCTCAAGTCAGAAGTTCAAAACCAGCCTGAGCGAGACCGTCTCTACCATGAAAAATATGAGAATTATTGGCCAACTAAATATACTATATAAGATCAGCCGGGCATGGTGGCTTGTGCCCTGTAGCAGCTACTCGGGAGGCTGAGCAGGAGGTCGCTTCGAGCCCAGGAGTTTGAGGTTGCTGTGAGCTAGGCTGACGCCACGGCCACTCACACCCCACCTCTAGCCTAGCAAGAAAAGCGAGACTCCTGTCTCAAAAAAATAAAAAAATAAAAAAAATAAATTAATTGAATAGAAAAATCATACTTTCATTTGATAAGTAAATGAAAGTAGTCATTTTAGTATATATTTAAAACGATCAGTTTTTATTCAAAATGATCTATTTTCAATTAACAATAACGCATTATGTTTAAATATATTTTGAGTTATATAAACGTTATCTCACATTTGAAAGAAATATTTAATCTTTTTTTTAACCTTGTTTTTATTCTTCCCACAGTGGAATCTGCTAGCACTATTCACCCATGGCTGCATGGAACCAGAAGTTAAAGTATCTCAGTGATATAAAAAACTCAGACTTCATCTTTAGTTCATTCTACCACTTTGCAGCTGAAAAGTGAAATCTTTTATTTTGGGTCATTTTGAAAAACTTACCCACAACTAGTAATGGATTGTAGTTAATTTTCTTCTGAAAAATTATGTGGGTAAGTGTATAGGTTAGTTTATAAATTATGCAAATAAGCAAGTTATATAGGCTGTTTTGCTGCTTATATTTCCTGCTGTAAGATAAAGTGATTATGGTGATTGATACATTAAATGTAATTTACTATCTATGTTTGAAAAGTAATTATTGGGTATTAAAAATAAATTAAAAAACTTAAAATTCTTTTGTTCTCCTTTTGCTGCTGTACTTCAGTCACAGAAGTTTTTTATATTGAGTTTTACATGTTGTCTTCCCTAAAAGTGTCTTAGATTTGCTGTCTCGAAGTGTTTTTTTTATGTGCCTGGGAAGTTCGAAAATTGAAAGTAGCTTCAGCCAATATCAATGAATGTAAAAAGCCAACCTCACTTAGAACCAACTATTGATACATACTTTTGTCTTGATATTTCTGAGCAGTTTTTTTGTTTGTTTGTTTGGTTTTTGAGACAGAATCTCACTTTGGTTGCCCAGACTAGAGTGAGTGCCGTGGCATCAGCCTAGCTCACAGCAACCTCAAACTCCTGGGCTCAAGCAATCCTCCTGCCTCAGCCTCCAGAGTAGCTGGGACTACAGGCATGCGCCACCATGCCCGGCTAATTTTTTCTATATATATTAGTTGGCCAATTGATTTCTTTCTATTTTTATAGTAGAGATGAGGTCTCGCTCTTGCTCAGGCTGGTTTTGAACTCCTGACCTCGAGCAATCCGCCCGCCTTGGCCTCCTAGAGTGCTAGGATTCTGAGCGGTTTTTAATAGCTAACCAGTTATATGTTAAATAAATTATGCTTACTGTTTAATTTTTCCACATTTTCTTTGTATACTTCTTAGCATATGTATTAGGGTTCTCCAGAGAAATAGAACCAATGGGATAGAGAGAGAGAGATGCAGAAGAGATTTATTATGAGGTATTGGCTCCCACAGTGATGGGCTAAGAAGGCCCATGATCTGGCCAGGCATGGTGGCTCACACCTGTAATCCTAGCACTGTGGGAGGCCAAGGCGGGAAGGATTGCTTGAGGTCAGGAGTTTGAGACCAGACTGAGCAAGAGTGAGACCCCATCTCTACTAAAAAGTAGAAAGAAATTAGCTACACAACTAAAAATATATAGAAAAAAAATAGCCAGGCATGGTGGCACATGCCTGCAGTCCCAGCTACTCAGGAGGCTGAGGCAGGAGGATCTCATGAGCCCAC